GATTTGTTTTTTTTTTAAAGGTCAAATGAAGAAGTCATAAGAAAAAAGTCGAACTAGGGAAGTTAACCACAAGAATGTTGCATGATTATGGTCATGCCTACTTAACAATTTAATTTATGCTCGCACAAAAAAAAAAAAACTTTCGCAGTGGTTATTTAATCAAATTACTGCACATGTGCAACAAATCGCAATAGTAAAATAGAGGTCGAATCTTCATAGACTACTAATAAATCACATGAAGGATTTTATGGATTTGTTACTAGCTTAGCCCAATCTTTTTTTTTTGGGTTTTCCTAAGTTAAACAGAAATAGAAAGCAAACACCAAAGAGACTAACGATTTTAAAGCAAGAAACTGATATACAATTCAGAACTTCTTAGCAAAAAAAAACAAAAATAATTCAGAACATGGCGTTCATGGATTCATGATAGCAGAAAACAAAATCACTAAACATGGATATGATTCAGGACTGTCCAACTCAAAATTCAAATTAAAATTTTCAAAGTATCAACTTCTATGTGATACACCTTAAAACATTAATCTTCGTTGAATTTGAGAAATTAAGCAAGTATTATGTTGATTACATCAATTTATGTTGATAAATGAGTAATGACATGCACTTTCTTATCTAAATTATTTCAGCCAGTTTATCAAATACTTTGAGTGCATAAACTAACCTAAAATCATATTTTAGATGCCAATCAAGATTGAGATCAACAATAGATGACTAACCAATGAAATAGATCCCAAATCTAACAACATATTATCAAGAATTCATGAATTCCTCTTCAAAAGTTTAAATTTATTTGGTGACGTACCCAGCCATGGAAACAAAACTTAAGCAAATAAATGAAGAATAAAATAATAATTAAATAACCAAATCCTAAAAGCACAAGATTCAAAAATATTTTCTAAGACTGTATATTCGTTTCCCCAGCTTTACAATTTCCAAAAGCTTCAAAATAATGAAAAATAGGTCTATGTAAAGTAAGTTGAGCATGAGATTTTATAAAGGCTAGAAATCTAAACAAGTAGGTTCTAGAAAACGGGTCATCACAAAAAGGAAATACAGATCCGGTTAGGGACTGATCAGTCCTAGATGTGTTCCGATTGGTCCATATATCTTTCTTCTTTGCTCGTAGCTTTTGGACCGATCGATAAAATGGGTGGACGAAGCGATTTAGTATTCTTCGTCTTTTGCTTTTGAAAATTGACCGACCCTCCATCGGTGAGATAAAGGAGAGTGTCTAGCCAACATTTATTAATAAAAAAAATCATAAATGAAGAGAGAGATACAGTTTCTCTACCCAGAAACTATGAGACACAGTTTCTGCACACATGTCACAAATTTATTGGTTGAATTATTAAAAAATAATAAAAAAACAAATAATTTAATTAAATAGTTTTTTTTTTTTTTTTGAGAAACTTCTATCATGTCTACTGATGGAGATGCTCTAAGCGGCCCACACTTCCAGAAGCACCAAAAAAAAATATTTTCTTGCTTTAAACGTTCAAAACTTTGATCAAAAACTTATTTTTTCAAAATATACTTGAATCCTGAATAACTCAACAAGACACTAAAACATACCAAAAACACTTTTGACTCTTTAAACGAAGACATAAAAATAGAGATAGAAAACATTTTAGAAATCGATAAAAACAAGATACAAAATTTCCCGGCACAAATGAGAACAATATGGTTGTGAATGGAGACACAAAAAAGCGGTTTTCTATTTTTTTTTTGGTAAAACCATACCACTTTCACCAATCATAAATTTTTATCAAATTTGCGTTTTTCTGAAAAAAAAAAAAAAAACCAAATTGCGGAATTGTCCAGCAGATATTACCTTGGACCGCTTTCCAAAATAGGGAATATTACAGATATAGGGCTTTTTTGGCCCAAAACTTTTAAAAGAGGAACCATTTCCAGGTCTTATGAATTTAGGTATTTTTGGGATAGGAGAAAAGACTGTTTTACCCCTCTATATCTTCTCCTTCACTCTTCTTCCGACGACAACCATGGCTTTCTCTCCCAACCAAAAAAAACTTTGGATTCATCTCCCAACAACAACTCTCGCTTTCCAGGCCATAAACCTCACTTCTCACCATCTCCACCCCCAACACCATCTCCATCCGTTGTCAACAACATCTCTGATTCGAAACACAAAACCTCTCCGTCGCCCACACCATCTCAGATCCGATGATTTCAGTGGATTCAATTAATTTCGTTTTGAATAAAGGAAGCTAAACCCTATGGGGATACTATCTAGTAAACCCAAGGGCTCCAATCTAAAACATCTATGGAATCAAAACTTCCAATTCTATTTTTAAATCTAAACAAATAGGTATCGGATCTCATCATCTCATCATCGTGACCACCATCTTGTTCATCGTAACTCATCATTTTCAACAGATTCAACATCTTCACCACCATCTCCTTTACCGGATCTCATCACCACCACCATCGTCATTAAAGCGTTTTGTTGGTCGTCAACAGAGAAATTTTTTTCTTTTTTTTTCCAGCTGTTGTTGGTAAGGGTAATAACGTCATTTCACTAGGCTGAGAAATGCTTAAAAATGAAGGCTGGACAATCTGACCTAAAATGATAATTTTTGGTAGAATAAATGCCAATCCGGTAATTGATTCTTCCAAAATATACAGAAGACTTCACCCAGCGGTACATTCAAAAACGCAGTAGATAGTAGTATTATTTTTTGTTTTTTTTTTAAATTTTGATATTTTAATATTAAAACTATTATATGTATATCTGTTTACACAACCTTATGTGTAAACACCAAAGAAAAAAAAGGTAGTCTTCCACTATCTTTTCTCTTGGCTTCTTACCTCTCAGACTCTCACGTAACAATATTTTTTGTTTTCAATTTTTTTTTGGTTAAACACTTTCTGTAACAATTAATATAATATATTTATAAGTGATTTAATACAAATAATATACTTTTTAAATGATGTAATGGATTCCAAATTATTTCTTAAAGATACAAAAAATACCATTTCCTCCTTTTAATTTTATATATATAAATCTATGTTTTCTTAGTTTCTAATAATTCAAAACAGATTATCTGATTTAATATTTATAAATCTATGTTTTCTTAATTCAAAATTTATGTATTTTATTAATTTGAAACTAGATAATTATCGTTAATTATCATAGTGATCCTTAAAAAATTTATAAATAAAAATATTTCTTTATTACCAAAAAAAAAATACTAGTAATTTGTAATTATAAGTATATTTATTTTTTACATATTTATTTATAATCGGTAATGTGTACCGCTTGTTACTTTTTTACCATTCAAACATTTTATTGTGTACCACAAATACTTTTTTCACCAATCAAACTTTATTATGTACCGCTTATTTTGTATTAACCGCACTTGTCCCGCAAATACGTTTCTCACGCACATACCGCAGTTGAACCGCACCGCACTATAAAACCGCTTTTCCCGCACAACCAAATACGCTGTTACCATTCGGACCCTATATATGAAAGATGGGGAGCAGAAGTGGTATCACTTACGACTCATATATATATATCAAAGATTGGTAACAAGCTGTTAGCTGTTAGCTGGAGCGGTTAGCTGGAGCTGTTAGCTGTTAGGGAATAGTGCAAAGCTGTACAAAATAATAAAACACGAAAGCTGTACAAAAAAATAACGCAGAACAAATTTTAAAAATTTATTCTGATTGGAAACATCATAGCGGTACACATAATAAATAATATTAAGAATTTAGAAAGAAAGAAAAAATTATATAGAAATATACTTTAGTATATAATTACATATGAAAATTAAGATTATATAGAATGAACAATATTTTATTGTTAGAATAATAAGATGAATTTACTAGTCCTATAATAAATAAAATTTTCTTTATTTTGAGCAATATAACATTCCAAAATAATTGTTTGAGAAAAAAACCATTATTTCTAATGAGATTTTTTCATAGGCTGTATTATTTACTTTTTCAGAAATCTTTATCTGAACATTCGAGACTTTTTTTTTTGCATTATACATAGTTACAATTATATTTTATAAAGTTTAATTATGCGGTTAATAATACGGTTAACCGTGCGGCTAATCGTACTGTTAAATAACGGTTTTGATACGTTTCCGATATATTAACGGTTACGGTTAGTATATTTTTTTTAACCGTAAATAATTTAGTTTTACGGTGAATGGTTATGGTTTTTAACCGTTTTATACAGTTACGGTTGAAAAACGGTCCAGTTACGATCCAAAATACGGTTATGGTTATAACCGTAAAAAATAATTAGTTACAGTTAAAAAATATATTAACAGTAACCGTTAATTAACGGTAAACATATGAAAACCGTTATTTAACCATATGGTTAACCGCATAGTTAAAACTTTAAAAATATAATTGTAACTCCATATAATGCAAAAAAAATTATCGAATATTCAGATTAAGTTTTTCAAAAAAGTAAATGATACCGCATATGAAAAAATCTACGTTATAAAAAATGGTCTTTTTTTCAAACAAATATGTTATACTGTTATTTTGCTCGAAATGAAGAAAATTTGGTTTGTAACATATTTTTTGATTTTATGAAAAATATTATAATAAGTTAGGTAACTCGTAAGATTTCGCCTCCGATATTAACCGTATTGTAGTCATCAAATAACTATAACCATAATTATCCGTAACCGTTGTAACCGTAACTGTAACCGTATTTAACCGTAACCGTATTTAACCGTAACCGTTATAACCGTATTTAATCGTAACCGTATTTAACCGTAACCGTTTTAATTTATTTTGTTTTTGTCCAAAAAAACAATTTTTTTTTTTATAGTGTACCGCTTTTCATAAAGTTTTTGTGATTGGTAACTGTCAAAGCTGTACAAAGCTGTACAGCTTTAAAATTGGTTACCAATCATAGCCATATTCTTCTTTTCTTCTTTTTCTACAAAGTTAGGCGTTACAAAAGTAGGCATGGTAGTTTTGTTAGGTCTCGCCAACAAATAATTAATAACGTGTCACTTGTCAATGCCCCATACGAAATCCAATCCACGATTATTTTGTACCACTGAAAAGAACAACCTTTTATAAACTAATAATATATAAATTGGTCCTTTTTTTTTTTATAAAATATATCAACTATAACGCTTATTATTCATCTTTCTTATGGGCCAGTGTATGTATATGTAATCTCTGCTTTATCCCAAAGCATGCATTGCCATTGACAAGCAATAAAATATCTTGTGAGAGAAGAACGGGTAAGAGGTCGAATATCGTAAATAAAAAAAACCTTTTATAACAACATTCTTTCGATTCATAATCATCTTAACATAACCTCTAAATCATTAGATCATGGACCAGCCTCACGCTCTTGTAGTCGCTAGCCCTGGCTTGGGCCACCTTATCCCTGCCCTCGAACTCGGCAACCGTCTCTCCTCCGTCCTCAATATCAACGTCACCATTCTTGCAATCACCTCCGGCTCCTCTTCCCTGACAGAAACCGAGATGATACATGCAGCCGCGGCTAGAGGGACCTGTGAAATTATGGAATTACCTCGGTCGATATAGACGACCTCGTAGAGCCAGATGCGACAGTGGTCACTAAGATAGTGACGATGATGCGAGCCATGACGCCCGCGGTTCGAGATGCCGTGAAATCAATGAAGCAAAAACCGACGGTCATGATCGTTGACTTTTTTGGTACAGCGTTGTTGTCCATAACCGATGTAGGTGTGACGGCTAAGTATGTGAACATACCGTCGCACGCGTGGTTCTTGGCATTAATTGTCTACTTGCCGGTGTTGGATAAGGTAGTGGAAGGTGAGTATGTTGATATTAAGGAGCCTATGAAAATACCAGGTTGTAAACCGGTCGGACCAAAGGAGCTTTTGGACACAATGTTAGACCGGTCGGACCAACAGTACCGTGAGTGTGTACAGAGTGGGTTGGAGATACCTATGAGCGATGGCGTTTTGGTAAATACTTGGGAGGAGTTACAAGGGAAGACTCTAGCTGCGCTAAGAGAGGACATGGATTTGAACCGAGTTATGAAAGTACCGGTCTACCCTATTGGGCCTATTGTTAGGTCTAATGTGCTTATTGAAAAACGAAATAGTATTTTGGAGTGGCTAGACAAACAAGGGGAAAGATCAGTTGTGTATGTGTGTTTAGGGAGTGGTGGAACGTTGTCGTTGGAGCAAACGATGGAACTCGCTTGGGGTTTAGAGTTAAGTGGCCAAAGTTTCCTATGGGTTCTACGTAGGCCTGTTTCTTACCTTGGTGGGAGCTCAAAAGATGATGATCAAGTGAGTGCTTGTCTACCAGAAGGTTTCTTGGACCGTACACGTGGTGTAGGTCTTGTGGTCACGGAATGGGCACCACAAGTTGAGATCTTGAGCCATAGATCAATCGGTGGGTTTTTATCTCATTGTGGTTGGAGCTCAGTCTTGGAGAGTTTGACTAAAGGAGTTCCGATCGTTGCTTGGCCTCTTTATGCGGAGCAATGGATGAATGCCACGATGCTGACAGAGGAGATTGGTGTGGCCATTCGTACGTCAGAGTTACCGTCGAAGAAAGTGATCGGCCGGGAAGAAGTGGCATCTTTGGTGAAAAAGATTGTAGTGGAAGAGGATAAAGAAGGACGGAAGATAAAGGCTAAATCTGCGGAGGTGAGGGTTAGCTCCGAACGAGCTTGGACTCATGGTGGGTCGTCTCATAGTTCTCTCGTTGAATGGGCAAAACGGTGTCGTCTTGTGTCTTAATTTTAGAATCATATATCATATATGTGAAATGAGGTGAGCTACCTCGATCATGCAGCCACGTCAGCAATTGAGGAAAGGAGACTTGTCCATTGAAATTTAAAGCTAAGAGCATCTCCAATGGTGAGAGCCCTTCCAAGAGCTCTCTTCTATTGTTTAATATAATTTGTGGAAATTTGTAAGATGAGAGCTTGTGTTTTATTTTTAAAAAAATCCATTGTCCAATGGTAGTATCTCTCAAGTGGGGTTCTTACAATATGCTTGATCAAACAATATGATGAATCAAATCCAAAGCATGAAAACTCACTTCGACTTGGCTCTTCTTAGCTACACTACTCCAGCTTTTAGATTGAACACCAGTTCTCCTATCGAAATCAATACTCAATGCAACCTCAGGTTTATGATCAAGAGCAGTGAAACAAGCCATATAATCTCCAGCCTCCACCGCTGTAACTCGATGTCACCTGTGTAAATTCACGTTTAATCAACAAAAAACGAAAATTCAAAATTCAGAAATTCGGATTTGGAGAGTAATCTGATAGAGATCTTATGATATTGAGGTGAAGGATGAGCTTCGTTTGGGTTAAAGACTGTGTATTTTCCGATGGTGACTGATATCATATCTCTATACGAATACACTAAATTGCAGAGGTTCGGTCCTAAATCCAAAAGTGATGAGATGAATCATCTATATCCTCAAAACAGGTTCACTAAAGCTTGGTTCAAATGATACAAAGACAAGATGATAGAAGAAGAAACTCACTCTTGTGTAACCGATGCCTACAAGTTCAAGAACACCATGAACCAATGGAAGCCTATCGATTGAAAACATATGTTCCTCACCTTACTCCTCCATCAAGCAAAACTGGAATCCTACCTCTAACAACATGAACAACCTGCAGTTTCAAAAGAAGACCAGTTTGTTCATCAATCAAGGTTTCAATCAACTGAGAAAAAAAAAAAAAAACAGAGCAAAAGCAGTATGAGAAGATAGTAATTCCATGATCTAAATCTCTATCTTCAAAGCCATTGGAAGCTCACCAAAACTAAAATTCTTTCAAAACCTATAAAGTAGTAAAGTTTTACTCAAGTCCATAAAACCCATCAAGCAATACAAATGAAATTTGAAAAACACATAGGACCAAACACGTTTAGTCAGCATGAAGCAAATAACTCAATCTAACTCAGAACACAGACACAAACATTAACAACTAGGTTTATCAAAACCCTGAATTGTTCAGAAATCAAGAGATTTAGAAACAAGGAATCAAATCACAAACTTAACCTGCAAAAATCGAAATGAAAAGTCAGCTAATTGAAAGATTTGATGGAAAAAGGGCTGGAATTTTCACAAGCACTTGGCAGAGCTTCAGTGCACTAAAACCACCGCTCAAACCGAGATTCTAAGAGCAAGCGAAAGAGCTGCATCAATTCAATGGATCAAGAGCACGCTCATACACCATAATTTCTCCCTTAAATCAACCCTCAATCGCCGGAATCGTCAGACTAAATCTCGTCTTCTTGTTCGCCGATATCGCCAAAAAAGTGAAAGAGAGAGTCGAAAAAAATAATTAGAAGAAGACTTCGTGGTTCACGTGTTGTCTTTTTTTTTTTTTTCCTTTTGTTAAAAATCCTCCACCAGTCAAACAGTGACACGTGTGCGTCTCTCTTGGGTTTCCAAAACTCTCTTCAGAAAACCAACTCTCTCTTCAATTATGTTTTCTGATTTAATTTTAATCAGTTATAATCACTTTTGAGAAGAGAACTTTGGAAGAGAACTCCCATTGGAGATGCTCTAAAGACTTTTGTTATAAATTGGGTTTTCTCGATAACTCTTTATCTCCTATATCAATGACTTTTTTTTTTGGTCGTCTATATCAATGACTTTTAATTTACTCTTTACGTATTTTGTTTGCAACCCGTCGTACGTTGAATATGTTTAGACAATTAGCTTTCTATAAACAGGATTATTTTTCTGAATTTTCTGGGATATATAGTTTTGAAATTTCAAAACCATATAGATAAGTTCATGATTAGTGAACCATATAGTTTTTTTTTTGTTTTTTTTTTGGTCAAAAGTGAACCATTAAGTTATAATAGTAAATCAAATATATTTCAAGATATGCAAAACACCAAACAAAAATATTATTGCATCCCCCACTACATCTCCTTATTGGAAAGTCCACTCGCAGTGCCATTTATATGGGCCAGTGTATAACTTGTCCCAAATCATGCAGCACTATGATATGTGGCCCGCATACTCAAGTAGTGTGTAAATTCAAAATGTTAGAATGATGTTCGAAACAAATCGGACTAAAATCAATGGGTAATAATCTAATAAACACTAGTAGTGAATGTTTTCTCTGCGTCATATATTAAATTCCACGATTTATAGATTTCGATTCTCATGTTTTTTTCTTGTTGATCACTTTAATAACAACTTTTCATGGCAAGAAAATTAGGAAATCCACAAATTTGGATATTATTATATTTTTGTTGTTGTTGGAATGTGGACTTTATTATTCAACAGAAGAGATTATTTACAAAGACTGAAACCAATTTGAAGAGTAGAAATGTGGAGAAAACAAAGATTCAAACTTAATGAGAAGTGGCACCACCCACTTCGTGAATTTGGTCATTTTTGGATATTAATTTGGTTTTGGATATCTCCACATAAAAACATATATGAGAAATCCTTAAATATTTTTGCGTATATAACTAAAAAAAAAAATACTTCTTGTTTCGTGTGCCGCGGTGATCAACAGGAGAAGTGTGTCCGGTGTATGGAAAGACATGTGTACATGCACATGTCATCATCATTCATTGTCCTTGTGAACGAAAGTATATGCAATGGAGTTATCTGCGAACATCGCGCCGTGTAGATTCGTCTTTTGTTTTGTCTACAAATTTTGGCGTCAGTACAAAAGTATGCATGGTCTTTAATCTTAGGTCTCATTAGTCATTAACATAACGTTTGGTCAATACGGCATAATAATTATTAGAGTACATAGACCCGGTTTATTTATAGGATCTTGTTTGGTTTAGTTGGTTATTAGTTAATCTTTATTATCTTCACTTGTATAGTTGTATTTAAGCTTTCTCTTGTACACATTTATCGTTGAATGAAGTAAAATCATAATTGAAAAGTAAAGTTTGTTAGATCTGAAATGGTATCAGAGCAATTTTTTTCTTCTTCAAGCTTTGCTTCGTCAAACTTCATTCTGCTTCCGCAAGCTCAAATCATCTTTCATTCTTTGATCATACATCTAGAATCTATCATCAACTTCTTCTCCGATTCATTCTCGACATTTTCATCGGAAATTTTCTACTTTCTTCTTCGTTTTCTTGCTTTTCCGATCGCGTTACATTCCGATCGAGTTCTTTCTTCTTCTCCGGCTTGATTCGAGCTTCAATTTCATCGATCAAGCTTGGTTTTCATCAAATCATCTGTGTCGAGCACTGATCTCTTTGAATCGAACTCCAGTTTCTTTGAATCGAGCTTTGATCTCTTCGTTTGTTAGCTTGATTTCTCAGATTTGAGTTCTTATCCTTCGATTTTGCGATCAGATTTCCTCGATTGTTCTTATTCGTTTGTTTGAAGCGATTCATCATCTCGGATCGTCTTCTCTCTTTTGATTTTTCTCTTATGGTTTTTCCGTAAGATTTATACTCCAATTTGTCTGGATTTGTGCTCGATTTGCCACTTTCTAGTTTCTTCTCCGATTAAAATCGGATTTTATTCCTTCATTGATCGATAATTCCGTCAATTCCTCGGTTAAACAACCGATCTTTTGGATATATAGGTTGTTGATGCTGCATATCACGTTTGTTCCGCCGCTCGTTGATGCTCCAGATCTCAGTTGCGATTCTTTGTCTGCGATTTCAATTGATCTACGTGTTGCTTTGCTTTTTCACGATGTGTTGATATCGTTTGCTTCTGTTATGGATTCAATGTATGGTTCACGTGAGTTTCAAAGAGCAATGTTGTTGTTGAGAAGGTTATGGCAGCAATTCCATGGCTGCGTTTGATGATATTGTTGGTGTTCCTCTTTGGTTCACTTCCACGTCCACCAGAAACGTCATCTAAGTCAATATGTATGATTCCCCTGCCTTGATCTTTAGTTCATTAGGCTGTGAATTTTTTGGCAATGGAGTTAGGTATTGTTGTTTGGATAGTTATCAAGAATTTGTTTCATCCGAATCTGTTCTAAGACAGGGGAGACATAGACAAATAGGACCAACGTTTGTTTATTTTGATTCATGGCTATGGTGATTATGACCTTGAATGTTGTGGTTTCACCGTGTTTGTGAAGTTGGTGCCATCATGTTGCTGTTATTGAGCTTCCTTGTGAAAACAGATGATGGATGTTCTTTTCATGAGCTATCGACATGGACTTCAAGGGTTTGATGATATTTTGATTCACAAAGATGGAGTTAACATCAGAAAATGGTTGTCTCTTGTTGGATTGGTTTTACCCTGCCATGTTTAATTCTCACATTCCAGCACATTTACGACCAATGGGAAGAAGATTTCAATTGGTTGCTGTTTTGGATCATGTTCCGTTTTGGCTCCAAATGATGCTGTTTCTGGAACTTTGTTGGTTGATTCTCATCACTTCCAAGATGTTCAGAGACTCATTTGTTATTCAACCACAGGAGATCCCAGTCGTGGACTCTACCTCTCAGAAAATGAGTTTAGTTTGCAGTTTTTCTCTACTTCAGCTCTGCATCTTATAGGATGTGTTATGTTTGTGTTCTGTTGCTGCTTAGAGATGTGTTCCCGTTCCATGTTAATTGAGTTCCTTCAAGCTGTGTTCCGAGACAGGGGGAGCTCATCGTGATCATTGTGGACTGGTTATTCAAGAGACATCTAACCTTGTTGCTTCATGGTGATAGTAGCTTTATTGGACAGGAGCGTATCAAGACCAAGACCACCAAAAGCTCATTGTGTTTTCAGTTTCAGGTCTCTCAAGTTCACTTGAATGCTTCTCTCATTGAGAAAGTTATTGAGGACACACATTCATGGAGTTTTCAAGTCCAAGATACTTTCATCTTGAGGGGGAGTATTAGAGTACATAGACCCGGTTTAATGTCGGTTTATAGGATCTTGTTTGGTTTAGTTGGTTATTAGTTAATCTTTATTATCTTCACTTGTATAGTTGTATTTAAGCTTTCTATTGTACACACTTATCATTGAATGAAGTAAAATCATAATTGAAAAGTAAAGTTTGTTAGATCTGAAAATAATAAATATCACTTGTTAATGGCCTATACCGAAATCCAATCCACGATTATTTTGCTACACAGAAACCAACAACTAAAAAGAAATGTGTTTATCAAATCTAGCAATTTTTGTGATCATTGATCCTAAAACCAATAATAAATATATATATATATATATTATGGCCAGTGTATAACTGTATATATATTATCTCAATTCATGAAGTGTCATTGATAACTAATAGACATCTTCTGATACAAGTACAGGTAAGTGGTCGAACATCTCACGTAAACAAAAGCCTTTTGTTAGAACATTTCTTTGATTCATATATCATTTTTAACACCAAATAACAAGATCATGGACCAACCTCACGCGCTTCTAGTCGCTAGCCCTGGCTTGGGTCACCTCATCCCTATCCTCGAACTCGGAAACCGTCTCTCCTCCGTCCTAAACATCCACGTCACCATACTCGCCGTCACCTCCGGCTCCTCGTCACCGACAGAAACCGAAGCCATACGTGCAGCCGCTGCTAGAACTGCCTGTGAAATAACGGAACTTCCCTCGGTGGATATAGACAACCTCGTGGAGCCAGATGCAACGGTGGCCACTAAGATCGTGGTAAAGATGCGAGCCATGAAGTCCAAAGTTCGTGACGCCGTGGAATCAATGAAGCGAAAACCAACGGTCATGATCGTTGACTTTTTTGGTACGGGGTTGATGTGCGCAGCCGATGACGTAGGCTTGACGGCTAAGTACGTGTACATCCCCTCGCATGCGTGGTTCTTAGCAGTCATGGTGTACTTGCCGGTGTTAGATACGGTAGTGGAAGGTGAGTATGTTGATATTAAGGAGCCTTTAAAAATACCGGGTTGTAAACCGGTCGGACGAAAGGAGCTGATGGAAACGATGTTAGACCGGTCGGACCAGCAATATAAAGAGTGTGTACGAGTTGGCTTAGAGGTACCTATGAGCGATGGTGTTTTAGTAAATACTTGGGAGGAGTTACAAGGAAACACTCTCGCTGCGTTTAGAGAGGACGGAGAGTTAAACCGGGTCATGAAAGTACTGGTTTATCCTATTGGGCCTATTGTTAGGACTAGCGGGCATGTGGAAAAACTCAATAGTATATTCGAGTGGCTAGACAAACAAGGGGAACGGTCAGTGTTGTATGTGTGTTTAGGGAGCGGTGGAACGTTGACGTTTGAGCAAACAGTGGAACTCGCTTGGGGTTTAGAGTTAAGTGGTCAAAGGTTCGTTTGGGTTCTACGTAGGCCCGCTTCTTACCTCGGGGCGAGCTCAAGCGATGATGATCAGGTGATTACCAGCCTACCTGACGGTTTCTTGGATCGCACGTGTGGTGTGGGGCTTGTGGTTACGCAATGGGCACCGCAAGTTGAGATCTTGAGCCATAGATCGATCGGTGGGTTCTTGTCTCATTGCGGTTGGAGTTCGGTGTTGGAAAGTTTGACTAAAGGAGTTCCGATCGTGGCTTGGCCTCTTTATGCGGAGCAGTGGATGAATGCCACGTTACTGACTGAGGAGATCGGTGTGGCCGTTCGTACGTTGGAGTTACCATCAGAGAAAGTCATCGGACGGGAAGAAGTGGCATCTCTGGTGAGGAAGATTGTGGCGGAAGAGGATGAAGAAGGACAGGAAATTAGGGCTAAAGCTGAAGAGGTGAGGGTTAGCTCCGAAAGAGCTTGGAGTCAAGGTGGATCATCTTATAATTCTCTATTTGAATGGGCAAAACGATGTTATCTTGTATCGTGATTTGAAAAATAACATCATATCAACCTTTTTATATGAATCTAAAAGTGTGTTAAATTTTGCTATGCATACAAGATATGTACTTCAATCAGGTATCTTTATATATTAATAAAAATTAATAATAGAACGTTTGTTTTGTAAAAATTTGCATATCATGTCGTCTATAAATGATGGACGTACGCGTACCGCTTTATATGTATGATCCTTGTTTAGCATTCTGAATGAAATAATCAAATAAGTACGTATGGAATTTCGGTCCAAGAGCTGGCTTTAGGCACATGGGCCTGTCATTTTTCTAGCATTCTAAGTGTTATTTTTTTTTTTTTAGCATTCTGAGTTATTTATATGTATGTCGTTCTCTCAGTCACCAGAATAGAACAATCTTGAAAATAGAAGATTTTAGTACGAGACCTAGCTAACCGAGACAAGTGGTCAGCTTTAAAGTTTGAAACATATCAAACTTTAAAGCTGACCAAGCATCATCAAGCAGCCGAAAGGTCACCTCTAACTTATAGATATAAGACCATGTACATAGGTGATTTTATTTGAGTATTAGTAGCCCAAAAATCATTTTTTAATGGACCAAAGCATGTATTTGGGCCTGATCCGTATCAGTCCACTGATACATTTGATACTAAGTATCGGGTGACGTGGCAGCATACGGTTGGTCAGCAAAATCAGAACCTGGGATGGCCTTTTTTGCCCATTTACTTGTCTTTGTCACATTGTGGACTTTCTAGCTTTTAACGTCATAATATTTTTTCGAACATGGTAGTGTTTTAATTTTGAGAAATTGCACCTTATAACCTAAAAAAACAACAAAATTAAATATCTAACCTCTAACCCCCCTATTCACTCTTTTTCTCTTCCTATCTCTCTCTACCTTCTTTCTAAAAAACTAATTTTTCTTTTTTTTTTGGTTATTCACCTAAATCACCCTTTAATTTTTTATTGTTAGAAAAAAACAAATCTATTTGTGTATCAAACTATTACACATAGGATCCCTACCCAAAAAAAAAAACTGTTACACATAGGAAATAACATTATTATAACCTTTTGTTTTTGGCATCAATAATATCATTACAATTGTTCTGTTTGATATTATTATTAAGCAAATTAAAAAACTATATATCAAAAACAAACAACTTAATATTGTTAGGCCAAATACATCTTAGATGTGAGAAACCTTAAGAAATTATTTCATGACTTTTTTTTAATATATATTATAAGGAAAAAAAATCATTATTGCATCCAATGTTAAAAAGTCGATTCAATTTGGTCCAACTAATTAGATTGAAAGTAATGTGCAGTAAGAACTTAAATCCAAAAAAAAAAAAAATCGCTCATTTTTTCCCTCTCATAAATTTGACAAATGTGAACAATATGATGGCCAAAAGAGCTCAAATTCGTCAAGAACAAATGCATCGACAATTGAAAAAAGATTTGATTGAACATATTTGGCAAAAATGGGGCCAAGGTAATTGACTCGTGGGGACTAAGTTATCTTTATCATCATGTTTTTTTGAATTTAATGTTTTTTTTTTGCTTAAGTATATTCTACGTTTTTTTTTATGTAATATTACATTTTGTAATCCTATGTTTTTATATATTTATTTTCGATTTTGCAAATCATTTTTTTTATGATACTTAAACCGGTCTCACCAATGGAAACATATTTAGTACCAGTATCATAAAAAATCTCAAATAATAAACAAACATTAAAATTAATACTAAAAAATTGTTAATGATACTCTATGAGTATCAACTATGTGCATGCTCTAAAGCATTTTTAGTATACTCCAAAGTTGATATCCCCTCCGTTTGAAATTAGTTATCGTTTTAGAAGTTAAATTTTGTTTTAAATTAGTTATCGTTTTATGTTTTCAATGAAATTTTTGACAGATTTTCCAATTTTATATTTGTTGTTTAAACTAATTAATTGATGATATCAAATAAAACAACACATTAATTAAGGATAAAATAGAAAAATTAAATGTTTTATTAATTTGTGTGAAAAAATTTAAATGACAACTAATTTAAAATAGAAGAGTATAATTTAATAAATAATATGACTTATATAAAGGTTCGCCTACTATACTTTAATTTTATATATATATCTAATTGCTTAAAATGCAAAAAGTAATTTTATAAATCATTAAAAAATTACTATGATGTTATTGTTGGGTACAAACCAACGTCCTACATTAGATGTTTAGAAAAAAGTTTCTAATATATAAGTCAAGTCTAACTCCAACTAGTATGAGACATTTTGGGAAGGAGGCCAATAACAAATCCGTGCGGGCTTGAACATATAGGTCCAAAGTGAACAATGTCATACTAATGGAAGTTGGATTGAGCTTATAGCCCAATAAATCGTATCAGAGCCTAGGTCGGAAAAAAGTGAACCTAGGGGTGTGGGCTAAATTTTGGTGTGGGAGAAGCCTTTAAATGTGACACGATAAGAAGATGCCTCAAGAACTTCGCGAACAAAAATGTGCCGAGTTAGGGTGCCAACGTTTCGCTGAAGAGGAGGCCCAATGTTCGTGGTTATTGGTTTGAAGGGGAGATTGTTGGGTAAAAACCATCCTCCCACATCAGAAGTTTAGAAAAGAAGTTGCTAATATATAAGTAAAATCTATCTCCAATTAGTACGAGGCCTTTTGGGAAATACCCCAATAACAAATCTGTGCGGGCTTGAGCATAAAGGCTCAAAGCGGACAACATCATACTAATGGGAGTGAGATTAGGCTTAAAAAAACCAATAGTTATCACCTAATTATTGGTTATAAATGTGGTACTTTATGGAAAGCAGTAATAGAAAATAGATGGTTTTTGTAATTCAATATTTATATATGAGTTTATTTTATATTCATGGTGGGAGTCAAAATTTTGAAATTAATTTAAGCTATATTTACTTATTAATGAAATATTAATCTTTGGAAAAGTAATTTAAAATTGTTAATTTATTTATCAACTTAATTGCCTAATTAACAATGTATAATTAATTTGGAAAAATGGTAATACATAATTAATGATTCTGATATTGTAATAAATTTTGTAATAACTATATTGCTAGTTTATTTTACAATTTAAGAGTCTTGTTTTTTTTTTACCAAGATTAATAAGAAAGTAAACTTATACATATATTTGATGAATAAATCCTCCACTATATCTCCTCCTTTATTAAAATGTAAACACACATAGATTAAAGCTGTGATCGCTGCGATAACCGTGATTACGATCCTTGACGGTGAGAATAACGCCGTGTGGTTGTGATCGGAGGTTTGTCCTAGCCATTTTATGGTTGAGGAAGAGAATCGAGCTTCATTTAGGTTTTTCTGCGGTTTACAAAACCGGTTTAGATATTTTATTCGGTTAGATTCGGTTTACATATTTGATTTAGAATGTTTAATTTCTACTGGTTTGGTTATGAGTAATCCACTAATCCACAATAATTCAAACCATTTCAATCCAATTCATTAAACTCATTAATCCATTTAATCCATTAATCTATTAAGATTCAAATTTCTCATTCATTAGATCCATAGATTGGATTGGTTTGGATTGATCCATTTTTTTTAATCCATTTTAACACCTCTAGATACGACCAATCGTTTTTGTCAAAGATTAAACACTTAATATCACAATCAAAATAAAAGTGAATAAATATAGTGATAGAGAATAGATATAGTGATAAACAATACAAACAAAATTCTAGAAACATGAAAATTGCCTAGATACACAAACGTGGGCCACCACAAAAGATAAGATTTCAAATAAGACAACTAAGGGAAATTATAACGTTTCAGAAAATTTAATGTTATTACTTATTAGTTAGCTAATTGACATCTTATATACTAGTTAAAAAGACCAGTAATTGTCCATTAATAGTTGTGAAAGAGAGGGGTTATAAAATTTGGCATTGGTAGTTGTGAAGTATCCGAAATTGTCAAGCGTCGACCGCTCGGGAATTGTCACCAGTCGTCTTCTTCAATCTCCATACTTCAACCACCATGAACATCAAGTTAGTAACTTTCACTTTTTTTCTTAATGAAATCTTCTTCCTATTTGTATCCGTCCTCGTCTTCTGCGATTCATCCGAATCAAGTTTTACTCACTTTCGTAGTGTTAAGGCCAATATTTGTATGTTGACAAAAAAAAAAAAAAAAGGCCAATATTTGTATATTTTCCTTTCTGTTGATAATTTCAACTCTACATTTGCATTTAAATCGTATACAATCATTTCGGTTTAAACTCAAAATGTGAATATTTGTACAGAATCTAAAGACTATTGGCTATAAGGTCTTGCAGTACATCTTTAGTTTTTCTATTCTCACAGTTTGACATAAAATCAAATTAAGAATTAGTAAGCCACATGTTTCTCTGTTTTGAAGATGCATTTCTTATGATTTTCTTTAAAATTTGTACTAGTAATTTTGTGTGCATGTGTTTCACTGAATGTTCATATATAGAATGGGTAAGCTTTATGGAATCTCCATTTCTCTCATCCTCGTCAACTTAGCCACGATGATGCAACGAGCAGACGAAAAACTCATTCCTTCGGTTGCCAAAGAAGTGAAAGAAACATTCAATGCAACCCTCTCTGATATTGGATACCTCACATTTATAAGAAATATTGTTCAAGGACTTGCCTCTCCTTTAGCCGGTTTATTTGTCATCAGTTATGACCGCCCAACAGTTTTCGCAATCGGTAGTTTCTGTTGGGTCTTATCAACTTTTGCAGCTGGAGCTAGCCACTACTTCATTCAGGTTTTGAGATTATATATTGCTTTTAAGTTTTTTCTATTACAACTTGAGCTCTTTGGAACATACAAGATTATTTCTTCAACTAAAGTAAAATCAAAGGGTAGAATCGAACTTTTTTTTTTAATGAGAATTTCAAGTTTTAATTCAAAGCTTTTTTTTTAATTTTTATTACAACTTGTTCCTTACAAAATATAAACTATAAAATATGTCCTTATTTGTATTGCAACTATAAAAATTAGGATTAAAAGAATAATAAAAAGCTCTAATATAGTGACTTCTTACCATTTATTTTAAAAAATTAACATGATTGTTATGATTAAACCCCATCTCTTATCATATCACCACTTTTACTGCTATCGTTTACTCCTAATTTTCCCTTTTTTTTTTACCATCTTGTATAAGTCATCAAACCCCTATATATAATATATTGGGATTTGATCTTGTTTTCTTGGACCAGGTTACCCTTGGTGTGGCACTCAATGGGTTTGGACATGCGATTGTTTACCCAGTGCTTCAGTCGATAATTGCGGATAGCTTTAGTGATAGTTCGAGAGGTTTTGGTTTTGGTCTATGGGGTCTCATTGGTACGGTTGGAGGTATAGGGGGAACCGTCGTGCCAACAATCATGGCTGGTCATGATTTCTTGGGGACCCCAGGATGGCGATGCGCCTTTATATTGATGGCAACGATGAGTGCGATCATCGGGGTTCTTGTTTTTTTCTTTGTCACTGACCCGCGGACAAAGAAAAGTAGCAGCTTCATTTCTCATGCTCATGAACGGTAATATAAAGCTCTATATTCTTGATAGCATCAAAGTGACAAAAGTTTTTTATTGTCTTTGGTTTTGAATTAGTCATGCGGTTTTGTAGAGATGAACTAATGGTTCATAAAGCAAAGAACTATGATGCTTCAACAATTATGAGCTCGGTTTGGATGGAATCGTGGGTGGCCATAAAAGATGTAACCAAATTACGAACATTTCAGGTCATCGTAGTGCAAGGGATCGTGGGTTCGGTGCCATGGACTGCAATGATTTTCTTCACAATGTGGTTCGAACTTATTGGTATGCGCATTCATTCTCATATTTTTCCCTAAAGAGAACCGACCCAAAACCCAACCTAACATATTATTCTATCCAAAGATAACGTCTAACCAAACCAAATCTTTGTTACTACTAATTAAGGCATAGGAGAGATAATCTTTTATCAAATTTATCTAATAAAAAAACAATGTCATATTTGGAAAAGGAAATTTCAATAATTTTAGCTAAAAGAGATGAGAACACCAAAAACTATTATATGTAAAACCATGCTTTTAGTAATTTAAAACAACAAAAACATGCTCTTAGTTCTCAAAACGTAATAATATCTTATTTTTCAGGTTTTGATCACAATAAGACGGCAGCTCTAAACGGCGTATTCACCACTGGACATGCAATAGGATATTTAGTCGGAGGAATAGTCGCAGACAAAATGTCTCGTATATTCCCAAACTCAGGCAGAATAATGTGTGCACAATTCAGCGTTTTCATGGGCGCTATATTCTCCATTATTCTTTTAAGAATGATCCCACAGTCCATTGACAGTTACTACATCTTCTTGGTCACTCTTTTTCTAATGGGTCTAACCATAACTTGGTGTGGACCAGCCATTAACTTTCCTATCTTAGCTGAGATTGTTCCTCCTAAGCATCGAACCATGATCTATGCCTTTGATCGTGCACTCGAAGGATCTTTGTCGTCATTTGGTGCTCCTTTGGTTGGGATTTTGTCGGAGAAAATGTTCGGATTTGACTCAAATGGAACTGACTTTATTAAAGATTCTGGTCGTGCAGCCGAGGCGTTGTCCAAGGGGATCTTCTCAATGATGGCTGTCCCGTTTGGATTGTGTTGTCTTTGTTACACACCATTATATTTTCTTTTTCAGAAAGATCGAAAAATAGCTAGAACTCCGAGTTCAAGGGAAATAGAGATGATATGAGAATTATCTTGTTCACAATAATTAAAGCTGTCTCGGCCAGTAATTTTTTTTAACTATGTACCGGTGAAACAATCAGGTTTTCATGTTTATTTTATAAGAAAATATTACATTATCAAATGTTTATGTTGTTTACCTATCTATATTTTCATTTAAAAAATTTTACATAGCAATAAATCATCAACCAAAAGGATGTTTCAAATTTACCAAATAAAATCGTGCTCTTTAACTAAAAAATAAAATATAATTGTGATCACAAGGTAAAATAACCATTAACCAAGTTCGAGTTTGGTTGATCAGATTTTAAGTTTTACTATTTTCTAGAAACAAAATTCTATATTTCAAATTATTTACCATTCAAATCGCAATCAAAACACTGTCACATACTCACATACATGTGCAGTATGTATAATATTAGGTGTGCTCTCTTTAGAATCTCACTATATATAAAAAGATGCATGTAATGGGAGACAGATACCAAACTCTATGTAAGCAGAACTAATGTAATTAAAATAATTTAATGTAGGGGTGTAACACCCCGGTTTCACGAATATGGTAGTGAATGCGGACAGGTTTAAAAGAATTGATTTGGAGTAGTTTCTTTTCGGTCAACTGTCCTGAGAGAACTCTACAGTTAAGCGTGCTTGAGCTGGAGTAGTTTCAGGATGGGTGACCATCCGGGAAGTGATTGTCGGAACTGTGTGAGTGAGGACAAAACACAGGGAAAGATCATGTGGTGATTTGTAAGGTCGGTAAACAAGTCTTTAAAGCCTCCCGGAAGTAGCGAACCGACCGTCGGACATGGGTGGGCCCATGGGTCCGAGAGAAGATGTGGGGCCCATTAAGAGAGGTGTGGCGGTCGGGGCGTTACAAGTGGTATCAGAGCTGAACCCAGGCGAATGTGGAGTCAAGAGGGCTCACACCGCTGGGGGTGACGGTCTTGGTGCGCAACGAGGATGTTGTGATCTATTCGTGGGGGTGAATTGTAACACCCCGGTTTCAGGAATATGGTGGTGCATGCAGAGAGGTTTAAAAGAATTGATTTGACTACCTATGTCACCAAAATGCTTTTATCTTTTCGGTCAACTGTCCTGAGAGAATTCCACAGTTAAGCGTGCTTGAGCTGGAGTAGTTTCAGGATGGGTGACCTTCCGGGAAATAATTGTCGGAACTGTGTGAGTGAGGACGAAACACACTAAAATATCATGTGGTGATTTGTAGGGTCGGTAAACAAGTCTTTAAAGCCTCGTGGACGTTGCAAACCGACCGTCGGACACGGATGGGCCCATGGGTCCGAGAGAGTACGTGGAGCCCACTGGTAGGGACGGTCGGGGAGTTACACATTCTCTCTCTAATATTAGTTACAAAAACTAACTTAGCTTTACCATCACTAAGATCTAATTCTCTCGAATCATCATCGATCAAACAACCAACGTAGTATAAGTTCGATTGGTAACACTCTCTAATCAAGATTAGCTTAATCAAATAAGAAACTTTGTTAATGCTCAACATATGAAAAAAAAATTTGGCGGGAAAATTTTGTAGGAAATATTTTTTGGCGGAAATTTTTGTCATTTTGTTGTCTTAATTATTTTTCAAATAGGAGTAAAATGGTCACTAAAAATTGAAGGGAAAATTGGAAATAAAGGATATCTACTTAAAATTTGTCCATATACACCTTTTTTGTGAGATTGTCAATTTGGACGATTTTACCCCTACACCCTAATTTAATTGTTTTTTTTAAAAAATAATCATAAAAACAGGTAGATATACAAGAGTAGAGGTGATTTGAAGTATAATTTTTTAGATTTGGTTTAAAAAAAGTTGATTTTTTGATAGATAAAGTTTCATCTAATTTTGGTAGAACACGTTTTCTAGAGTTCTGCGAAACTCAGAATGTGTATTCTGCATTTTTGTACATGTTCTACATATTTTAGATTAGATTTATGTTCTGAGAATTTTAGAAATCCGAAAATCAATAATCTAAAATATTTAGAACATGCATTCTACATTTTTCTCTATGTTCTAAATGTTTTAGAATAGACGTTCTAATAATTTCTACATCTTCTGCCATCATTAGAAATTGTAATCTACGTTTAGAATGTAAATTCTACGGTATTGCAGATTTCGATTTCTGTAATTTTTAGAATGCTCTAAATATAGAAAGTAAATATTCAGAAAAGGAAATAAAATATTTTTTTAGATTACGATTTAAATGATTATTTATTGTTTAGATTACGATCTACAAGATGTAGAAGTTGTTGTCTACGGTTTTTAGACTAAGATTAAAACCTAAAACGTTTTTTAAACCCTAAAAAGCTACACGTCTTAATCCTACACGTCTTAGTCCACCACTTTCGTTTCTAAAAAGCTAAGAACACGTTTTCCTTCAAATTTTCCCTTTTTTGATCAACGATTTCTCGATGCACATCTATGTAAGGAGTGGTGTGTGGAGATTGTATAACAAGAAAGAGTGGAGATTTATCATTGATGAAAAAAATCGTGGGAGATTGTTGAGTTTGGAAACGACTACAACTTTTGAAGAGTTACAAGCGATTGTTGCAGAAGACTATGGAATAGAACAAAGTACAGTTGATGTGGAGTTAAGTTACTTACCCACGGATCTTAGCTTGGATTGTCCTCCTGTTGTAATGATGAATAACAGACAGGTTAGTAATTTCCTTTCTTACTGTAAAAGGAAAAATACGATCAAGTTATGTGTGACGTTTAATGGTGGAGATAAAGATACAAGGAATAAAGAAAAATTTGATCTGAATAAGGAACCCGACGCTGCAAGTAATGGAGATGATGATGTTAATGTCGACGATGGAGATGATGATGTTAATGTCGACGATGGAGATGATGATGTTAATGTCGACAATATTTTGTCATCATGGGGTGTGAAAGAAACTAGAAAGAATGCCGATAGTTTCAAAACTCCAAAAAATGCTATTGTTGGTCACGGACTCGGATCGTCGTCACAGTATTCTTGTGTGAGCCAGGGTCAGTATTTCAGAAGCAAAGAATTGTTACAGTCAACCATGGAATTGTATGCGATGAAGTATAACTGTGACTACAGGATTACAAAGTCTGATACAAAACTGTGGTGTATACGATGCTTAGATGTTGGCTGCAAGTGGCGACTTCGAGCTGAGCGTTTAGAGCGGTCTTCTTATTTAAAAATCAACAAGTATATGGGTAACCATACATGTGCTCCTACCAAGAAAAGTAAATTCGGTCGAACACCTTCAGCAAAAACGATTGGACATATCATTATGCATAATTATGAAGGTGTGTTGGAAGGACCTAAACCGAATGATATCATCAATCTTATTCGGTCACAGTATGGACGCGAGCTTAATTATTCGCAGGCGTGGGAGTCTCGTGAGTATGCAGTTAATGAAGTCAGAGGAATTCCTGAGAAAAGTTATGGTAAGATACCAAAATACTTGTACATGCTACAAGCAGCTAATCCCGGTACGTATACAAATTATGAAGTTGATTGTGATGGTAGATTCCAATATCTATTCATATCTTTTGGTCAGTCAATTAGAGAGTTTTACAAGTCAATTCGGAAAGTGATTGTTGTTGACGGTACGTTTTTGAAGAGTAAATACAAAGGAGTTCTTCTGGTTGCTACATCCGTAGATGGTAACTCTAATTTGTATCCAATCGCATTTGGCGTTGCTCGTTATGAGAATGATGCATCATGGGAGTGGTTTTTCTTGCAACTTAAGACACTCATAGCGGATGATCAAGGTTTAGCTTTTGTGTCAGATAGGCATTTGTCGATCAGTAAATCGCTTGAAAAAATCTATCAGTTAGCTTCCCATGGTATTTGCATCCACCACTTGATCGTTAATGTTATTACATATCACAGTGGAAGGGGTGTGGCTGGTATGGTTGCAAAAGCGTCTAAATCCTATAGAGTTACTCAGTTTGAGAAGTTGTTCGAGGATATTTGCAACATCAGTCCAGGGATTGGTGCATACTTAGACGATGCTAATGTTGAAAATGGGCTCGCTGCCACTTTCCGGGATTTAGATACGACATTAACACCAACAACCCTGCAGAATCAATCAATTCTTCTTTGAGATCACCTAGAGAGTATCCGATAATTCCTTTGTTAGACAGCATTAGGGAGATGTTGACACGTTGGTTTTATGAGCGAAGAGTATTAAGTCAAAGCAAAAATATCCGTTGACTATTGAGGTGGAGAAAAGATTTCTAGAAGAATAGAGAAAGGTAAAATTTTTAAACTTTATCCGATTACTAGTAACAGATTACAGGTTAAAGCAAACGGGATCGACTTCGTCGTTGACTTGGAAAGAAGAACATGTTCATGTGGGAAGTTTGAGATAGGGAAACTTCCTTGTAGACACGCTATAAAAGGAGCTTATGGGATAGGCAAGTGTATATACCCATATGCTGATGATGTGTATACCACTGCCACTTGGAGATCGTTATATGAGGAAACTATTAATCCAATTGGTGTTCCCGAAGAATAATGGCGTGTCCCAGAGGAGGTTGCAGCTGCAATTGTGTTACCACCTGAAACAAGAAGACAACTTGGTCGGCGAAGAAAACGAAGATATGAAACGGCTGAAGACAAGATAAAAGCGTCACAACAATCACAATTGTCAAAGAAACATAGGTGTAGTCGTTGTGGAAAAGAAGGCCATAATCGAACAACATGTGACATAGCTATATGATTAAGGTTTGTCTAACTACTGGTTGTAATCTTAAATAGAGACTTTAAAAATTGTCTTTTGCTAACGGTTTTGTTTTTAGTTTATAGGATTAGAAAGCAGCTTCAAATTATGAGCAGCGTCTTCAAGTCCTTTTTTGCGTTTGTGATCGACTTGACAAGATAGTCAAACGAATGTAAATCCCAAGGATACGCCCTTAACTTCTCAAGATCCATCACCAATTTGATGTAATGTACTGGAATAGCTTTCTTCTCATCTTTCGCAATTACCAAACCAGCAATCACATACAAATAGACAAATCTAATCCTATCTACTTTACCCCACTTGTGAACTGCTCCTAGATGCGTAGACATCATCGTCTTAATGCATATCTTCTCCTCTCTTTTCAGCAACTTGCTCCAAAACCCCTTATCATCTTTCCAAGTATCTAAATCATACTTGAAATCATCATTGTATTTCAGCCCAGTCACTGCGTAGAACTCTTGCAAAGAAAATCGGAGAGGCTTGTTTCCAAACACAAACCAGAGCTCATGCTGTTTTCTTGTTACCAACTGCCTACATATTGGGCTATGCACCAGACGACCCGAATAATGTAAACCATTTTCGTATATGGCGAAGACTTGTGCAAACAGAGGATCAGACTTCACTTTCTTATACTCTAGTGGCAAAGCATCTTTGATTTTCCTAAGTATCGATAATCTGCAGCTGTTGTTAATTTTCTCAACTTCAAGCTCTTTACCATGTCCGAAAAGGAGCTTGGGAAACTCCTTAGTAGTGGGTGCACATAAAAAACAAACATATGTAAATAAAACCATTCACAGTGATGACTAATTATAGTGCATAGTTGCAGTTAGCAAACAAAAATTAGTATGTTAAAGTACCTGATGTCTTACTCGTGCTTCCTAGATTGTTTTCCATTGATAACCTTTGATGTAATGTAGATCCAAAACCTGAAAATAGAGAACAAACTAGCTTTATCAAATATTTTAAGTTATTAAGAGACAAAACACTTGATATAAAAATAAGACCCTGTCTACCAAAAAAAGACCTTTAACAACGTGAAACTTTCCTCAATCTAAATTTTTACATATCCCATTATCACAGTTTGAGGCATGTATATCTCACTAAATGGAGACATCTACAAGATTATACACAAAGATGATTCAAAGAGCTAGAGGACTTAATAAATCAATTAGCAATTAAAATTTGGAGTTTTACAATACAAAAATTGAAATCTCTAAACGAGTAACACAAATTCAAAGAACATAACCAAAAATATAGAGCAACTAATACACTCCTACGTTTGAGGAGATTATTTTAAGATCAAAGAATGATTCAAGCTAAGCCTTATTCAAACTCAAGCAACGCATCTCCTAACCTTCTTATCTATTTGGTCATTGATGACTCCTATATATTCAAACAGACAAAGAAAACAAACTCTATATACATCATATTGAAACCTCTAATTGAGTTACACGAATTCAAAGATATCAACAAATCTACATTTAAATGTTGTTAGTGTACAGAGAAGAAACAGAATTGCAGAACAACATGTGAAGCCCGAAACAACAATTCTCTGAAATAATCTTCATAAACTCTTTTTAAATCAATGAATTCGAACACAAACACATATACATTAACATGAATCAAAGAGATAGAAGACTTAATCAATCTACATGCAATTGAAATTTGGAATTTTAAAACACACAAAATTGAAACTTCAAATCTGAACTACACGAATTCAAAGAAATTAACAAATCTACATACAAACTGAAATAAACTCTTGCAAATTACACTAAATCGAGAGAACAAGAAGATTCATTTCGAATTTAATAAGAAGAAGACATGATTTCAGTCAAACAAAGGGGAAACTAGAAGACAACAGAGGAGAGAGACGAACCAATAGGAAGCTTCAAGCTGAAATCAAGAGGAAGCAAGACGGCGCCAGACACAGAGACGGCTTTCGAATCGCCGGCGACGACGATTGAAAGAAGACAGAGGAATCGCCGGCGGCAACTAACGTGTTTTTTTTTTCCCGACAGATGGTTTGACGAAAAGAAGAAAAAAAAAAGTCTTTTATTAGGTCTTCGTGAAACACTCTCTTTCATTTGGAGTTTTTGTGATTTTATTATTTCTATTTTAATTTTGTAAAACCAATTAGGAAGTTTTATTTTTAAAATGAAATTTGTGAGAAAATGAGGGTAAAATTGGGTTTTGATTTTTAAAAAACTTATTTGACCAATCTACAAAAAAAGAGGATATATGGACAAATTTTTAAGTAGATATCCTTTGTTTCCAATTTTCTCAAAAATTGAAATACACATAAATAAAAATGGCTAGAAAAGGGAATATTTTTGAAAAAGGATATCGAAGAAAAAATATTTCTAACAATTTCTCTTTAATGTATCAGAAAAGATTGGTATAATGGATAAATATCACAATTGAGTAAGAGTATATTATTTGGTTTAATTTTACCTATGCCATAGTAGTAACTATATTACAAAAAAAATAAAACAGTCTTAAAATAATTCAATTTATCAAAAAAAAAAAATTATAGGGAGACTCACAAAAATGCCCTTTTTTCAATACCTCTTTTCAAAAATGCCCCCTTTGGATGTCCATTTTTAAAAATACCACTTTTATGTACAAAATGACTAAATTACCCTTCTTTTAATAAAAGATATCATAAATATATAAGGAAATATAACAAATTAGGTCCACAAAATACAAAATATTTTTTGGCGGGAAAAGTGATCCCCCAATTTTTCCCGCCAAAACACTTGTAAAAATTTGTAAAACCTTTAAAATACCTTGTAAAATTTTCCCGTAAAATTTTTTTCCGCCAAAAAATTTTCCCGCCAAAAAATTTTTTTTGCGGGAAAAGTGATTCCGCAAATTTTTTGGCGTTAAATTTTTGGCGGGAAAAATTTACAAGGTATTTTAAAGGGTTTTTACAGGGTATTTATAAGGTTTTACAATGTATTTTAAAAGGTTTTACAACGTATTTATAAAGTATTTATAAGATATTATAAGATTTTACAAGCTATTTTATAAGGTTTTACAAGTTATAAGGTTTTACAAGTTTTTTATAAGGTTTTACACAGGTATTATAACTTGTAAAACCTTATAAGTACCTGTAAAAAATTTTTGGCGGGAAAATTTTTTGGCGGGAAAAATTTTTACGGGAAAATTTTACAAGGTATTTTAAAGGTTTTTACAAGTGTTTTGGCGGGAAAATTGCGGGATCACTTTTCCCGCCAAAAAATATTTTGTATTTTGTGGACCTAATTTTGTTTCAAATAAGGGTAAAATGGTCATTAAAAATTAAAAGAGGGCAAACTTAAAAATGGACTCTCAAAAGGGGCATTTTTGAAAAGGTGTATTGAAAAAGGGGCATTTTTAACAATTTCTCAAAATTATAATGCATTTATATTTACAAAGCGCCGGAAAAAAAACAGTCTTAAAATCACTTTGTAAAAGGACTGTTCTATATGAGGTATAAAGTCAAAAGGTTAGATATATATACACTAATCTTTTCACACACTTTATAACAACACCATAAGTGATTTACCCTTTAATCAATTGAATAATTTCAAATTAATCATCAAAAGTTTATAATCTTCTTCTATATTTATACAGATTTACCACTATATTAATTGAAAATTACTAAAAATAAATTTAGATACACATTTTAACTAATTAAACATTTGAACTTTTTGGTAGTAAAAGTCTTACTAAATCACGGAATATTTTCACAATTTGTGATCTTCCAATGAAAATACAACATCAGTAATTTTACTGTTTTCGTACGTGTATTATGCGAATTATAATATAATATAGAAATAGTACAATTTAATAAAATCTAGAAACATGACTTTTTTAAGAAAACAAAAACAAAACCATTAATAAATTAAGATTTCAGGTGCCAGCTGTCTCAAAATTCAAATCTTACTAGATCTTCCTCTATTTTTTAAATATTTTTATCTAATTGTGATTATTATTCAGAACCTAAATATAAGTAGTAAACAAAATAAATAAATAATCCTATTTCTTTTTTCCAATGTATATTTTGTTAAATAGACTATAAATCATATAAACTCTCCCTTCTATGTTGTTTAATAGTTACTTTAAAAATATTGTTTTCTTCATTTCTCTTCACCAGTCGTCTTCATACTAACACCATGAAAATAAAGTAAGCAACTTTCACTTTTTCTTAGTGAAAAATCCTCTTAATTCTCGTCTTCGTCTTCGAATTTTTGCGATCAGTTTTTTTTTTTTTAACTCACTATGATAGTTTTAAGGCCACTATTTGTATCTCTACCTTTCTATTGATTTTTTTTTGTCAATTTAGACTCTGTATTTCAATTTTAATCCTCCCATGAAATAAATTCATTTAAAAACTAAATAGATAAACAATATATTTCTCATTTCTTCACATCTTTCTTACAAATTCTAACAATGTCGTTGTTTTGTGTCTTCATAGATCAGGGACCCTTTATGGAATATCTATTTCTCTCATTATCATCAACCTAGCAACGATGATGCAACGGGCAGATGAAAAACTCATTCCTTCAACTGCGAAAGAATTGAAAGAAGCGTTCCATGCAAAGCTCTCTGATATTGGACTCCTCTCGTTTATAAGAAACATTGTTCAAGGGCTTGCCTCGCCTTTAGCCGGTTTATTTGCCGTCAGTTATGATCGTCCCACAGTTTTCGCATTCGGAAGTTTCTTTTGGGTCTCATCAACTGTTGCAACTGGAGTCAGCCGCTACTTCATCCAGGTTTTATTCTATTTACGTGTAGTATGGAGATTGTATATTAACTTCAACTAATTACCCCAAAAAAATAACTTAAAGCTTTCTTCTATTATAATCTAAACTCTTGCACACCAAAGTTCATACTAATCTTCGAAACATTTGAAGTCGTGTCTAGATTCATAAAATCCCCCAAAAAAGAAAACAAATATATATGTATGGTAATTTTCTTTTACAAATATCACAAAAAATAACGAAAATATCAATTTGTCAAATAAAAATTAAATGAAAGTTCAGACAAAAGTATCTGTCTTTAACTATAATAAAATCACAGAAACGAGAATTGAATTATTGTTTTCTGAGACCTTTTATGTTCTATTAAAAGTGTCTTTTTTTTTTTTAATATAAATAACTAGTGTATAACTTAGTCATTATTTGTAACGAAACATTAATTGAAGAGAAACACTTTTAAAATATAAACCCTATAATAAATGACATTTCTGTGTTCACATATTTTTTTATCAGATATTAAATGGCTTTTCTGTTATAATAAAAAAAAAAAAAAAAGTGACTTTTATAACTATGATACAAATAATTTGGATTTTTTTTTAAAAAGGGTAATTTCTAGGTCATATCTAAAATATAAAATTTCATATTTTATAGTTAAAAAGAAAATACAAAGGTCCCTTTGACTGAATATATATATATATATATATATATATATATATATATAATTTTTATATATATTTTATTTTTCGTCTGGTTTAACATTTTATATTTTTATGAAAATCTGTCAAAGTAAATTCAAATTACTGTATATTGGTCCACTTTTATTGTTGGGCTCAAACCGATCGCACCATAAGTGCCGACCCTGGTTACTTGTACTCTCAAACACAACCCTGAAAACATGTAGAATGGCTAAATGGTTATATAATATATGTATGTGTGTTTGATTGGGATTTGATCCTGGAAACATGTATAATGTATATATATTTGATTGAGATTTGATCTTTCATTTTTTGGACTAGGTAACACTTGGTGTAGCATTCAATGGGGTTGGACATGCAATTGTTTATCCAGTGCTTCAGTCGATAATTGCAGATAGCTTCAAGGAGAGTTCGAGAGGTTTTGGTTTTGGTTTATGGAATCTCATTGGTACGGTTGGAGGTATAGGGGGAACCGTTGTGCCAACAGTCATGGCTGGTCATAATTTCTTTGGAATATCAGGATGGCGATGCGCCTTTATATTGAGTGCCACGCTGAGTGCGATGGTCGGGATTCTCGTTTTCTTCTTTGTCACTGACCCGAGGGAAAAGAAGACTAGCAGCGTCATTGTTCATCACGATGATCAACATGAGCGGTAATATAAATCTCTACATTCTTGATTATATATATAGCACCAACATGACAATAAAGCGTTTTTGCTTATTGTCTTTAGTTTTGAGATAGTTATGTGGTTTTGTAGAGATGAAAACAACGGTGCTACAACGATGGAGAGTCCGAGCTCTTCGGTTTGGAAGGAATCGTGGGTGGCCATAAAAGATGTAACCAAATTAAGAACATTTCAGATCATCGTATTGCAAGGAATCGTCGGTTCGGTGCCATGGAATGCAATGGTTTTCTGGACAATGTGGTTCGAACTCATTGGTATGCATCCTTTCTCTAATTTTCACTTGAGAGAACCCATCCAAAACCCAAACCATATATTATATCTTACATGAATGGTTCATAGATCCTTAACCCCTAAAAGTCAAACAAAACCAAATAATTGTATACTACTTAAGGGATACATTCTAATAACAAAATAATATAAATATATGAATACAACTTTAAGTTTATAACTACATTTCAAAATACATTTGGTATACAACCAAATGTTCATTCCTATTTTACACCATTTTATAAAAAACATATGCTCTTAAACTTCAACAAATAAGCCAAAAAAATCTCTAAATTCACAAAGTTTTTTTTTTCCAGGTTTTGATCATAATCAGGCCGCGCTCCTAAACGGAATATTTGCCACCGGACAAGCAATAGGATCTTTGGTCGGAGGAATAATTGCGGACAAAATGTCTCATATGTTTCCAAACTCAGGCAGATTGATTTGTGCACAATTCAGCGTTTTCATGGGCGCTATATTCTCCATTGTTCTTCTAAGAATGATCCCACAGTCCATAAACAGTTACTACATCTTCTTGGTAACTCTCTTTCTAATGGGACTAACCATAACTTGGTGTGGACCAGCCATTAACTCTCCAATCTTAGCTGAGATTGTTCCTGCTAAGCATAGAACCATGGTCTATGCATTTGATCGCGCACTCGAAGTTTCTTTTTCGTCATTTGGTGCGCCTTTGGTTGGGATCATGTCGGAAAAACTTTTCGGGTTTGACGCAAAAGGAATTGATCATGTTAAAGACTCTGGTCGTGAGGCCGAGGCATTGGGGAAAGGGATCATGTGGATGATGGCCCTCCCGTTTGGATTGTGTTGTCTTTGTTACACACCGTTACATTTCCTTTTCCGCAAAGATCGAAAAAACGATAGAACTACGAGTTCAACGGAAGTAGAGATGGTGTGAGAGCTAATGGTATACTCATCATATTTGTTATTGTTTTAGTAGTTTTGATGTTTGTTATATATTATTTGAGATAAAATTTTATCTATATGATCAAATCCTTTATCCTAATAAAAAGTAAAAACGCAGACTTATGACACAAGAAAATTATATACAAAAATACTAAAACATTTTCATGAATTTTTGTTTGTTTTTGAGAAATACACAAAATCACCAACGTGCTTCCACATGTGACATACGACTCGTTGTTAAGCTACCCAATTGTATAAATCTATGTTGATGATTGTTAGTAAGTATTATTATTTGGTTATATAATCTGGTAGTGAATTGACAAAGAATTGTGCGGTAGATGAGTTGAATGAATATTTATAACAATTCAGAAAATTCCTAAAATCTCTTGGTCCCAATGTACAAGAGTAAACAAGAGAAGTTTCTTTAGAAGGAGAAAATGGCTAAGAAACCGAACCAGAGTCAAACTACATGCAGCGAGGAAATGAGGTTTCGCCAACATGGCCACCCATCATTGCCCTTTTGACATTATTCTCGAACAGCTTCGGGTTATCCCTTAACACCGCTGCTGCGTCATGGTTCAGAGGATCCTCGTAATTGGGTTCCTATGTGAGAAACAAACAAACAAAAAACTTCAGACTAGAAGGCCCAAGAAAATAACATCAATGGAGTATCATCAGTCAGGGAGAATTTGTTACCGTGAAGAGATGGAAAAGACCGTAGATAACTGTGTTTATGTTGAGAACCGGTTTCCAGTCTTCACGCAAGATGTTCAGACAGACGTTTCCTTCTAGATCGATATTCGGATGATACACCTACAACATTGACATTCTTTAGCATTCTGTATAAACATATCAGAAAGATAAACGTTTCGGAAACTGGGGAAAGAAAGCCTAACCTTGGTCTTGCATTTCACTTTGGGAGCTTCGTGGGGATACACATTAGAGACTTGGAATGTGAACACAAATTTACCATTCCTGTTTTTGGTAAAACAAGAACGAATGAGTGTGTTTTGAGCAAATTCAGTGACCCATAGACAAAAGAAAAGATGGAAATTTAGTACACTTACATGTAATATCCTTCATCAGGTTTAATGGTTACTTCAAAGTTCATCAAGTCATTCTTTCCGTTCGGAAAGGATATCTTACAAGACTTTGGCAGGTTTAGCTCCGATATATCTATGCACAAATAAACAGAGATGATTATCAGTTACACCTACTAAAAGACAACATAAAACCCTAAAAATACTTATAGTGCCAACTCTCAAAGTCTAAAGAGATTTTACAGTTTCTTCAACATCAGAAACTGAATAAGATCAGCAACAAAAACAAAACTACGAGAAGAAAGATCGAAACACACCGGAGAGCAACATCAGAAACTGAATAAGATCAGCAACAAAAACAAAACTGCGAGAAGAAAGATCGAAACACACCGGAGAGATTATCAATTACACCAACTAGAAGACAACATAAAACCTCTAAAATGCTTATAATTCTAACACATAAAGAACCAAATTCAACAGAAATCTTTTACATACTGAACAATATCAAAAGCAAAGAGATGATTATCATTTACACCAACTAGAAGACAACATAAAACCCTAAAATGTCTAAGTTCTAACACTTAAAGAACCGAAAATCTACAGAGATTTTACTGTTTGTTCAACATCAGACACTGAATAAGATAACAAAACTGAGAGAAGAAGAGAAAGAGAACCTTTGTGAAGACGAAGTTCACCAGCAGATTGCTTCTTGACAGTAGAAGCTCCTCTTCTGTTAGTATTTTGAGACTCTTCTCTTTGCTTCTCTTTCACTTTGAATAACCCGATCATGATTCTTCTACCTCACACAAAACCAACAACGAACAATTATTCACACATTGAGATATCAATTTCACGGTTCAACAGAACAAATCCGAAGCAGAACAATTACTCTATTTCTCGGAAATTTCATGAATTACACAAGTTTTATTCATCAGAACAGATTCGAAGCAAGAACAATCACTCAAAAACCCTAACGAAATCGAAACTATTAATAAATCCCTAAAAACAATCACGAATCTTCCGATAACAAGAGACGATCGGAGATTCTACATAACCAGATCATCAAAATCGGAAGGAGCAAACGAAAACCCTAAGATACCAAAATCAAAAGAAGAGATCTCAAAAGCTTACGAGTTTCAAATTGTTGAATAAACGAAGATCGAAACAACAACGACGAGCGAATCTCTCTCTATGAATTCGACGAAGAGAGAACGTAGCTTTCTTTCTCTGTACGCTGATTCTGAAAACTCAGAAACCTTTCTGTTGGGAAACTATATAGGAATCATTCTATTGGGCCTAACGAAAACTACATGGGCCCTAATGACCTACGCCGCGTCCTCTATGTATTACATTTTCGTATTATATTAAATGAATAATTGATTATTAAATACACATATATTTAATTTTGTATGTATATATAATAAATATTATATAAATTTTTCATATTTAATATATGATAGATAAATATATACCATATACAGTATAAGAATATGTGAAAACGTGTCATCTATATGTGAAAATTATAATATCCTATGTAATAGTATACTCACATAAATACTTGAAGGTTTTTTTTCCTAACTCTTCTTATTATTATGACATTTGGCACTCTTTTTATTTTTTTTCTCTTCTAGTTTATTTTATACCATAAGCTTTTAAAATATATGTCAATCTTAATCTCAAAAAATCATATTATGGATAGTTTCACTAAAATCCTATTAAACTATGAATTACAAAGTAATATCATGCTCCACTACATTCTTATTCATTTACGCTTTTTTGGATAAATAGTAGTTTCTTTTATTATAATACATATTTTTACTCCAAATTGTTTTTTTCCATACACATATACTTCTAAATAAATTTTTATATTCATTCATAAAAAATAATATTTTCATCAAGATATTTTAGACTCTTTAGCAAAGGTTATAAACGAAGCCATCGAGCTTAATGAAGAGACCCGAGGTAGCATCAAACGATGTAGTTGAACTGCCCTGTAAATGTTACGCTAAGAAACTCGAACAGAGACTAGACATGAATCATATTGTGTTGTCTCTGTGCTTGCCTTACTCACTGAACGGAGGAAACCTAGTGACCTTGAAGAGGACAAAGATAGGGTCGACATACATGACTCATGTTGTCACATTGATTATATATAGATAAACCATTATTCAAAATTAAACCATGTTAATATATTGTTCTTAAAACCGGATCAAAAGGCAAACTCGAATGTTTTCCAAGCAATTTGGTCACCGAGTGGATATGACACGGTGATAAGCTAAATAAGTAAAATATAGTACACATAAAAGGCATACTGGTTTAGTCGAAATTCACAATCAATGCACTTTATGCAAACCCATTTGTAGTGTTATTAACTTATTATGACCAGAAATAATTTGATTCGTGATTGTATACTATACTACGAGGTAGTAAATCTTTGAAAATAGTATTATACAAATATTAATGAATTTTCAATATATGAGTGGTGTCGTCATTTCTTGTATAAGATAATAAAAATAATTACAAATGAAGCAAATTATTAAACATCATCATCGTCCTTAACCCACCATAATTACAAATGAAGCAAATTACAAATAATTACCTATCCGTTACTCCAGATTCAAAGTAAAAAAAAAAAAAAAAAACACTTGAGTTTCGAGAACCATGACTACTCTAACTAAATCTATCAACCTGTCCATCTGTCAAAACCCGGATCCGTACCCGGATTCATCAAAATCCAACCTTTCCTTCTCCGTCGGAAATCCAACCTTTCCTTCTCCGTCGGAAGCTCTCTACCGTTTCATCAGTCGTCACCGGAGAAGAAAGTATCATCCACGACAAATTCGATTTCATGTCTTACATGATCGGAAAAGCAAATTCCGTTAATAAAGCTCTTGACTCCGCCGTCTCCCTCCGAGAACCGATCAAGATCCATGAAGCGATGCGTTACTCGCTTCTCGCCGGTGGTAAACGAGTGAGACCCGTGCTCTGCATCGCCGCGTGCGAATTAGTCGGCGGCGAAGAATTCCTCGCGTTACCGGCGGCGTGCGCCGTGGAAATGATCCACACGATGTCGTTGATCCACGACGATCTTCCATGTATGGATAATGGATAACGACGATCTCCGCCGCGGAAAACCAACGAACCACAAAGTTTTCGGCGAAGACGTCGCGGTTTTAGCCGGAGACGCGCTTTTATCTTTTGCGTTTGAGCATTTAGCGACGGAGACGCCGGAAATTATTTCTCCGGCGAGAGTGGTTCGAGCAATTGGAGAATTAGCGAAAGCCATTGGATCAGAAGGGCTTGTGGCGGGTCAAGTCGTGGATCTAACCAGTGAAGGAATGGACCAAAACGACGTCGGATTAGAGCTTCTTGAGTTTATCCACCTTCATAAAACCGCCGTGTTGTTAGAGGCGGCGACGGTGTTAGGTGCCATCTTCGGCGGTGGAACTAATGAAGAGATTGAGAGGTTAAGGAAGTTTGCGAGATGCATTGGATTGTTGTTTCAGGTGGTGGACGATATTTTGGATGTGACGAAGTCGTCGGAGGAATTGGGGAAAACCGCCGGGAAAGATTTGATCGCCGATAAGCTGACGTATCCGAAACTAATGGGTCTTGAGAAATCTAAAGATTTTGCAGAGAAGTTGTTGAGTGATGCTCAAGAACAACTTCATGGATTTGATTCGAATAAAGTTAAACCTTTATTAGCTTTGGCTAATTACATTGGCAAAAGACAGAATTAATTCAATTTTTGACGTTTTAATTATTACTCCCTCCGTATTCATATAATTGTCGTTCTACACATTTTTTCTTGTTAATAATTAGATGTCGTTTTCACATCCCAATTCAACTTTTACCTAAAACTTCCTAAATTAACCTTAATTAATTGAGTCATAATTAAAAGGAGTAGTTGTTTAGGTGAGGTTAAATAAATCTTTTTCAACATTTTCTTAATTTACGTAATTATAGTTAAAACGACAACAAAACGAATATAGAGGGAGTAGATCATATTTTCCGACAATGGTTTAAGAAACTATAGATTCTGTAATAGAGCCTTTTGGCTTTTGCTGGTTATAAAGATTGAAGTTACTTGTTATATTTTGTGTTCTTTTTTTTTTGTGCAAAACATTTTGTGTTCTTGGATGATAGTTTGTGTTGTGACTTGTGAGATTTCTTCTACATTGGATATTTTTGGATCTTGATTGATTAATTAAGAATATCTCTTTTTTTGGTGGTCCAAACTCCAAAGTCACATAATGGTATCTGAATCGTTGTGTGTCGTATTGGTAGTTGTTGGTATTTAGTATTCAAATAGACTAATAGATTTTAGATAGTGATGTTTTTATATATGTTATTTTCTTATTTATAAGAGAGGAAAACGTGAGGAGGGAATATTTGACATGATACAAAATCATTGAGAGAATTGAATAATTTCCTCTAGTTCTAACAAATCATTGACCATTTTGAAAATTTCAATACAAGATTTCCTATAAATTATTTAAAAAGTTGGAATATTTCTTTCTGTTTTTCGAAAAAGGTACTTTTAAAACAAACTCTAATCAGTAAATTGTTTATCTTTATGTCATTAAAGCCAATATAATTCATATAATTGAACTCTAATCTGAGTTATGTGTTATTAAGGATATTTAGAAGTTTTTAATTTTTTTTTTCTAACTTCTTTCTTCTTACTAGTTAAGTTACTCTAATTCTAGATGAAACTCCAATGGGCCCGGTGGCTTCAATTTTTCAAGCCTCGACGACTGATTATTTTGTCTTTGTTCAGACAACAAAAAAAACATAATAATAATAAAGAAAGTGAAAAAGATAAAAACTTTTTATTTTCTCTTCTTCAGTTTTTCTTCTTTAATTCTTCTTCTTTCTTTTTGTGTTTCCCTTCCTCGTTCTTTCATGTCTTCCTTGTGCCATTGATGAGTCCGTCAACACCAAATCGAGAGTAGTGCAAGACTTTTTCTCACACTGTCTCTAAAAACCGCGTGAGAAATCGTCTTCCTCCTCAGATCTCTCCCTTTTCCCTTCAATTTTCCCGCATTTTCTCTCTCTCTTTCTCTTCCAAGCTTCTCCAAGCGTACAAGCTACTTCTTCTTCCATAAACCAAATTAAAACCCTAAACCAAAACTCTCTTCACCTCTATAAAAACTCCACCTTTTTTTAGCTCCTGTCTATTTCACAGACTTCAATCTTCCCCATTTTCATTACCAGCCAAAAACTCATCTTGAATTTCCAGGTAAATCTTGAATTCTCTGCAATTTTTTTAGTAACTTACTCTTGCGCTTTAAGTTTTCTCTTTTCAATGTCGGTTACAAAATTTAGATTGCTCCGTAAGATTCGGCATAAAGTTTGTTGCTTTAAGCTATAAATCAATTACCCATTTCGATTTTTTCTCATTACAAGCTCAAGTTAGGTTTGGTTTTCTAAATTGTTGTTCTTTTGATTAGGTTTACGAATTTAAGCAATTTCATAGAGATAGAAAAGAGAAATGATGGGAGGAAAATCTAGCAAGAACAAAAAAAATGTTGAATTTGGTTCACCGTCGACGCCTGTTCAAATCAAGATTAACTCAGAGTACTCAGAGCATTTGAGTTCTTACGAGAGAGCTTGTAGTGAAGATCCAAAGCTTGAATCTTTTGACGCTGCGCTTCATGAAAGAACTAACCGAGTCATCAACAAGCTTGCTTCAGGAGTAGAGATTAAGTCTTTGTCGTTTGATTCTCTTAGGGAAGTGACGCAATGTCTTTTAGATATGAATCAAGATGTGGTTAAAGTTATATTGCAGGATAAAGAAGATATATGGAACAATCAAGATTTGTTTTCTCTTGTGAATTTGTATTTTGAAAGTACTGCAAAGACTATGGATTTCTGTTCTGAGCTTGAGAATTGTCTTAACCGCGCGAGGAGGAGTCAAGTGATTATTCAGTTTGCTGTTAAGCAGTTTGAGGAAGAGGCGGAGATACCAGTGAATGGGGATAAGGAGAATAGAAAGTATGAGAAGACGCTTAAGGAGCTTAAGAGGTTTAAAGTAGCGGGTGAGCCGTTTACGAAAGAGTTCTTTGCTCTTTTCGATTTGGTTTACAAGCAACAGGTCATGATGCTTGAGGAGCTTCATAAGTTAAAGAAAAAACTCGATAAGAAGCTTAAGAATATCAAAACATGGCGAAGGGTATCGAATATGGTGTTTGTGACTGCGTTTGTCTCTGTGCTTATCTTCTCGGTGGTTGCAGCCGCTGTGGCTGCACCGCCTGTTGTGGCAGCTATAGCTGGTGCATTGGCTGTTCCAGTGGGTTCTGTTGGGAAATGGTGCAACACGCTGTGGACGAAATATGAGAAAGTGGTTAGAGGGCAGAAGGAGATTATTACATCGATTAGGATCGGGACTTATATTTCGGTTAAGGAGATGGATAATATAAGTATTCTTGTGCGTAAAGTGGAAGTTGAGATTGAATCTTTGCTGAAGAAAGCTGAGTTTGCTATTACGGAAGAGAAAGAAGTGAGGCTTGCGATTGATGAGATCAAGAAGAAGCTTGATGTGTTTACTGAAACCATTGAAGAACTTGGGGAACATGCGGGTAAGTATTGTAGCGATGTGACAAAGGCGAGAACTGTGATTCTGCAGAGGATAATCCGATACCCGGCTAGCTCACCGAAGGATGAAGCTCCTTGGTAAGAAACCCTTTTCTCCTAAAGCTAGCTTGATTACTGAGAAACTCAAATAGTAAACTTATACTTCATGTTTTTGCTTTAGAACTCTAGAGAACAAACTTGTGAACATTCTTATGATTCATCACTATGATTTATGAATGGTTTGGATTGAGTTTTTTTTTGTGTTTTCCATTGTTGATCAGGACGGAGATGGTGTAGTGAGAAGGCAGATTCGGATTCGTGTTTGGCTTTAAAAAATTGTTGGTTTGTTATCTTTAGCCCAAGTATTATGAACAGCTAAAGGATATATCTTACCTAATGTTATTAGTTGCCCTGAGGTAACATTTGCTTAATACATTCATTAAAGAGACATTTGTAAGGTTTTTATGTAATTTATTTGGGCTTTATTTAATCAGACTTGTATGTTTATAAATGAATGTCTTTGTGCTTAGTCAAGGCTTAGAGAATTACTAAGCTGAATACTTAAAGAACTAATGAATTTAAAAATAGGACGTGAAGAGTTAGTTGATGAGACGAGGGAGGGATGTTTTAACGTAAATCTTGGACATGAAACATGTTTTAAAAGTACAAATTGACTTGTGGCTCGATGTGACAGACTTGGTCTATGAAACGGTTGACTGATTAATCAATAGACCAGTCAGAAAGATGGAAGGGACCCTTCACACTCAGGTTTGAAATGGTCTACTAAAGGCAAAGTCGAAAACTTGGCCTGGGATTCTCACAGTGAACACTCCTTTGTGGTGCATTTCGCTTTCTTTGCTCTTCTAATATAGACATGTGAATGAATATATGAGATAACTGATGTGACTCGTTATCTTTTCTTCCATGTTAGGCGAGTCTTAAAGATGGAACTGTGAAGAGCTTTGATATACGTGCTGCTGATTTATCACCAAGTTTTACTTTCCATGCTAATGATGGTGAAGTCTCCTCCATTTCATACAACATACATGCCCCCAATGTAAGTACATACATGAAAAGCGAAACGAGTATATACGCATATTCATAGCATTTTAAGTCATTCTCGGAGATGTGCAGCTTTTGGCTATGGGATCTGCGGATGAAAGTGTGAAACTTTGGGATCTTTCAAACAATCAACCATCATGGATTGCTACGCACTTGCCAAATGCTGTAAGAGCAATGAATAAGTATTGTTTTCTCCCATCTGTTTCTCTTTGTTTACCATTCCAAACTTCGATATCCAACAGGGAATAGTTTTCTCGGTCTCATTCTCCGCGGACTGCCCTTTCTTACTCGATGTTGGTGGCTCAGAGGGGAAGCTAAAAGTGAGTAGAGATTTTGATGATACAATAAACAAGAAATTATTCTTTAGGAAACTTATGTAAGTATTTATGTGTAGGTGTGGGATACACTGTCGGACAACGGTGTGTCCCGAAGATATGGAAGCAACCGACCGTGACCCGAAATCATTCAAGAAAAATAAAGGACAAATCAAACCCGAAATCAGAATACAGTACATTACAACACAAACGTAATTATAAACTTCAAACTACAAGCACCCAATTAAGAAACTTATATATTTTGTTAGTCACATTACTATATATTTTGATTACATTATATAACATCTTCTTCACGTAAGTTGTTTAGCGATATAGCAAACAAAAATTTCAGTTGTTTCTGTTGGCAATGAAGTTAGTAAGAGCTATCAAAGGTTTCACTTTGTCAGAATCAAACCCTTGAATGTGTTCTTTAGCTTCTCTCTTCAACTTCTTCACGAACTCCTTAGATTTCTCAAGACCCATCACTTTCGGATACGTCAGCTTTCCGGCGACCTGATCTTTTCCGGCGGTTTTTCCCAATTCCTCCGAGGACTTGGTCTCATCCAAGATATCATCAACAACCTGAAACAACAAGCCAATACACCTCGCAAAGTATCTCACCTTCTCTATCTCTTCCTCTGATCCACCGCCAATAACCGCTCCGATAACCGCTGATGCTTCGAGCAACGCACCGGTTTTATGAACGTGAATATATTCAAGATCCTCCAATCCGACGTCGTTTGGATCCAGCCCTTCACTGCTTAAATCCATCGCTTGTCCCGCCACAAGTCCTTTCGTTCCAATAGACTTAGCCAATTCTTTAACGACTCGAACCATTTTCTTGGAAGACACGTCAGCTTCCGTCAAATGCTCGAAAGCTAGAGCTAAAAGTGCGCCGCCGGAGAGAATAGCTACACTTTCTCCGAATACTTTGTGTGTTGTTGGTTTGCCTCGCCGGAGATCGTCGTTATCCATACAAGGAAGATCGTCTTTGATGAGTGACATTGTGTGGATCATTTCAACCGCACAAGCCGCTTGAATCGCCAAACGCTCTTCCCCGCCGACTAGCTCACACGCAGCGAGGCAGAGTATTGGCCTGACACGTTTGCCTCCGGCGAGAATCGCGTAACGCATTGCCTTGTGGATGTTGAGAGGCTCAATGAGTGGAATGGCTTCGTCTAATGCTCTGTTTATTGTCTCTGCTTTGTTGATCATGTATGGTTTGAAATCGAAGTTGAAGCCGAAATCATCTTCTTCGTTTACTAATTTGATTGATGAATCAAGAAACTCACGGATGTCTTTTCTGGCGAAAATAGCAGCGGCGGCTGGTGATTTGATCGGGAGATGGAGAAGGCGGATAAGCCGCCGTGTATTAGCCGGACTCAGCCGTCCTTTCAGAGTTGCAAACACAAAATGTAGAGATAGAAAGACGATTAAAAGATAGAGAAAGATATTTTGAGCTTCCATTTTGATCAACAATAGATGATTGATTGATTGATCTTGGATTCTTCTGCTTTACAATAACTTTTTGTTCTCTGTTTTTTTTTCCGGAGTTTAAGGAAAAGGTCAACGGCAAGGCACGTTGTGGGATTATATCATTCTTCGTAAGATCGGTTAAAATTGAAATTAATTGAAGCATGGTTTGGATCCAAGCCGTTTTGCATGAGGCTGATGTTGGAGTAAGCTTGAAGGTTAAGTAACTTGAGCAATAAGTTACTTAATAAAAGGAAGATTAGCTTAAATATTCTAGGAGTTATCTAGAATATTCAAGAAGTTGTAAGTCCTAATTGAGTTAGGATTAGGTCTTGAGAGTTTTATATAAATAGAGGTACCAAGGTGTGGTAACCCCATGAGTTGTGAGAGATTTGAGATTGAGAGATATTGTGTGCTTTAGTTTTTGAGTTAGTTTTCTAAAGCTTAATAAGAGAGTAATTCTTAAACTTTGTCTTCTTAATCTTTCTCTTTCGATTCTAGAGCTGATGGTATCTTCATTGCAAATGAAGCGGATAAACAAGACAACCTCCCTAGTTTTCATCAATTTTTCACATTTTGGTTTTGTTTTCATGTGGTTTATTTTTATATAATCGTTTTCTCAAGTTTCAGTGGAGGATTTAAAGATTTATGATATTGGATATCAACGTGATCGACGCATGGTGTCGTAACGTTGAACCTGTTTTTTAAATATTAGAACATATTTAGGATGTTTTCTATTATGAAGCAAAGTCAACGAATGCAAGTCTCTTCGCGGACTCTTGTCATATTTATTCGGTTTATGTTAGTAGGATAGATTTCAATCTCCACTAAGAAAAACAATCTATTACCATACTTAACATTTTACCAACAAAAAAAAAAAACAATCTATCATCAGCTAACCATACATGCGTTGATTAATGCTTATTTCTAGATTCGAATATGTTTTAAACTACATGCGTTGATTAATCATATGGTTCTAGGTGTGAGATTATTAACCAAACCGTTTTTCCGAACCAATTCGAACCGAGATCTGGGGTTCGGTTAACCGGTTGATTAGTAGGAGTGAACTAATCGGCATCTTTTTAAAATAAGTTCGGTTGTTTCTGATTAACGAAACAATCAATCAAATACTAATTAATAATACTAATTAAACCGAATTAAACCAAATTTCTAGATTACATTAGGCATAAGACGAATACTAATCTCTTCTTCCATATGTAAGGCGAGTCTTAAAGATGGAACTGTGAAGGGCATTGATATACGTGCTGCTGATTTATCACCAAGTTTTACTCTCCATGCTAATAATGGTGAAGTCTCCTCCATCTCATACAACATATATGCCCCCAATGTAAGTACATACATGGAAAGCGAAACGAGTATATGTGCATATTCCTAGCATTTTAAGTCATTCTCCGAGATGTGCAGCTTTTGGCTACAGGATCTGCGGATGTATAAGTGTGAAACTTTGGGATCTTTCAAACAATCAACCTTCATGGATTGCTGCACACATGTGTACATTCCAAATGCTGTAAGAGCCATGAATAAAAAGTGTACGTATTTAATTTTGCTCCCACATGTTTCTCTTTGGTTTCTTTGTTCACCATTTTACAAACTTTGATATCAAACAGGGAATGGTTTTCTCGGTTTCATTCTCCGCGGACTGCCCTTTCTTACTCGCTAAAAGTGAGTAGAGATTCTAATGATACAAGAAATAACAAATTATGTTTTTAGGAAACTAACGTCTATATTTGTGTAGGTGTGGGATATATACATTATCGGACACTGGTGTGTCCCGAAGATATGGGAGCTACCAACCATGACCCATCCAGTATTTCTCTATTCGAAGAAGTAGAAGTAGATATATCATTCAATAAAATAAAAGGACAAATCAAACCTGAAATTATTTTGGCTACTAAGCACAATGGAAATCAGAACACAGTACAAAACAACACATAGCATTCAAACTACAAGCAAGAAAATTAAAAAAACATACATATTTTGTGTTGGTCACATTCATATTCCACTGTTACTATATATTTTGATTACATTATATAACATCTTCAGTTGTTTCTGTTGGCAATGAAGTTAGTAAGAGCAATCAAAGGTTTCACTTTGTCCTCATCAAACCCTTGAAGATGTTCTCTCGCATCTCTATTCAACTTTTTCACAAACTCCTTAGATTTCTCAAGACCAATCACTCTCGGATACGTTAGCTTTCCGGCGACCTTATCTTTTCCGGCGGTTTTTCCCAATTCCTCCGAGGACTTGGTCTCATCCAAGATATCATCAACCACCTGAAACAACAATCCAATACACCTCGCAAAGCTTCTCACCTTCTCTATCTCTTCCTCTGATCCACCGCCAATAACCGCTCCGATAACCGCTGATGCTTCAAGCAACGCACCTGTTTTATGAACGTGAATATATTCAAGATCCTCTAATCTGAAGTCGTTTGGATCCAGCCCTTCACTGCTTAAATCCATCGCTTGTCCCGCCACAAGTCCTTTTGTTCCAATAGACTTAGCCAATTCTTTAACGACTCGAACCATTTTCTTGGAAGACACGTCAGCTTCCGTCAAATGCTCGAAAGCTAGAGCTAAAAGTGCGCCGCCGGAGAGAATAGCTACACTTTCTCCGAATACTTTGTGTGTTGTTGGTTTACCTCGTCGGAGATCGTCGTTGTCCATACAAGGAAGATCGTCTTTGATTAGTGACATTGTATGAATCATTTCAACCGAACAAGCCGCTGGAATCGCTGAACGCTCTCCCCCGCCCACTAGCTCGCAAGCGGCGAGGCAGAGTATTGGCCTAACGCGTTTTCCGCCTGCGAAAATCGTGTAACGCATTGCCTTGTAGATGTTGAGAGGCTCAATGAGTGGAATGGCTTTGTCTAGTGCTCTGTTTATTGTCTCTGCTTTCCTGATCATGTACGGTTTGAAACCGAAATCGTCTTCTTTGTTTTCTATTTGGGTTGATGAATCAAGAAACTCACGGGCGTCTTTTCGGAGGAAAACAGAGGCGGCTGCCGGAAATTTGTTACGGCGGTGGAGGAGACGGATAAGCCGCCGCGTAATCGCGGGACTTAGTCGTTGTTTAAGAGTTGCAAACACGAAGTGTAGAGATAGAAAAACGATTACAAGATACAGAAAAATGGTTTGAGCTTACATTTTGATTAATGGATGATCTATGATTCTTGTTATTTATAAACTTGTTTTTACTTGGAGTCTTGAAAACGAAATCAACGGCTACGCACGTCGTGGGATCATTATCATATTGGTTCGGTCTGAGTTCGAAAAATCGGTTTGTAATTCGAAATTGATTGGAATATATATGGTTTATATCCAGACCGTTTAAATTGAGGTTTGGTTTGGAATGAAGTGAGCCAGACTATGTGAAAGTGTGAAACTTATCACAATATTCACAACCATACGTAAACCGATAAACGGGTTAATAGAAAAACAATTTGAACCGGGAATAGAAAGACCAAACCGGATGAAGAGGAGAAATATGACAACCTCCCTGGTTATCATCAACATTTCACATCTTCCCTAACCAAAAACAAGCATTTCACGTTTTGGTTTTACCGTTTTCTTAAGTTTTCAGTGAAGGATTCAAAATTTGTAAATTATAAATTATAACTTGTTGGATACTTGATCGAGATCAACGCGATCAATGCATGGTTGTTCGTAACGTTAATAATTCTTATTTTTAATTTATATATTATAATTTTTTTGGATTTTCTTTTTATTAAAAAGCTTAACAACGGCAAGTCCCTTCGTGGGACATGGTCATAGACGCATAGTGACATGTTTCGGTTGAGGTTAGTAGAATTGGTTTTAGTCTCGACTTTTTTTCGATTTGGATGTGATTATAAGCAAAACAAATCAATAACCAACAAATTTTGCAATTTACCGAAATTAAGGAGTGCAATTCAGAGATTAATATGTCAATATTGTGGGTAAAAAAAAGCCCTAGAAAATACATGTTTTTGCTTGATACACAAGCCATACTTAATGAGGAACATGGCCAGCCGGAACATAATGGAGACCTAAATCCAGCCGGAACAGCCGGAACAACATTGTTTTCCTTTCTACTTGATTCCATTATTCTTACATTAGTAAAAATTTAACATTAATGTTATTAATTATATGAATTAGGGTTATGTACTTCCTCCCCTTTTTTTAGTTGATGTATAAGGAGCAAATTTTTGTTCTAAATTAGATGATGTTTTCAGTTTTCAATGTAATATTAATTAGTTTTTTTATTGATTTTGACGATTTATATTTCTCAGATTATTTTCTATTGGTTAATTAGATAATAAATGATGTTTTAGTTTAGATTTAAACAAAAGAAAATGATTCCTTAATTAGTGTGCAAAAACCTTAAGCATCAAGTAAAAAAAAACAGAGGGAGTATATAAATTGATTTTGATATATTTATATGATATTTCCGTGCAACTACTAGTATATCGTTTAATGTATAGAGATTAATGATATATTAACAGCAATTAAATTTTATTATTTGAAAGAATTAAGTTAACTTTTATTTCAATTTTGATAGATTTTTTTTTGGTCAAAAACTATTGTATTAATTACTCAAATCATTACAAAACAATTTTCAATTTTGATAGAATATTTAGAAATATTTGTATATAATTCAATTGTTGAGAGAGAATCCTATAAACGAGTTCGTCTACTAGAAAACAAAAGGAAATGAGAAAGAGATACGTGGTAGTCTTGAAACACAATAACACCTTGAATGAGTCTCTGACACCTTGTAGTGTTTTTCGAGAAGTCTCTGACGCTTGAATGAGTATTCGAATCAAAAGACCTTGCCAAATTATATACTTAAGATTAACCTTTGTATGTTATGTAAATATGGTCTTGGTCAAAAAAAGCAAGATTATTTATTTATTTTTGGTCAAGAAAATAGAATTGTACCAAACGTTGAATTGATGGAGAAGTTTTCGGCCATGTGAATTCGTAAATTTGGGTGTACGTGAGTACAATGCACCAAGTGAATCTCTTTGAGATTATATCTTTTATAAAAGTTCTTGGTTGGTCGTCTTTCTTGTTTTAGTTTGGTTATTTTAAAGATTCCACATGATGAGCTGTGGCTAGCAATAACTTTTAGCGAAATTAATGTGATGGTTAACTTCTACTCCTATATTATTGAAGGAAAAAAAAAACGAAAATTATTGTCATTTTTAGGTATGGGCAAGTACATGATTTGCTTGACCATATTCAAATTGCGTGAGATAATTCAGTGTACACATTACTAAAGAAGTAGACCATATAAATAGATAAGAAGTGGATCGGATATATACTTACCTGTGACATAGTGGGCGGTGGAAAAAAAATGGACAGTGGACAAACACCTATGGCTATGCATGCCTCCCAAGCAGCAGACTCCCCAAAAGACACCCAACGGACTTAGCGGACACTCATGAATCTGTTACGAGAGATCCTTTAACAAAAAAAATGAATCTGTTACCAGAGCATAATGCAACCAGTGAAAATACAATAAAACACTTTTAGATTTCAAACAACATTACTTATAGGAGACAACTATAGTTTAAGATTAGAAAACTCATGTTACAAATATTATGTATCTATAAGTATCATTAAATTATTATCTTACTGTACATGGTGTCACATTATGCACCCAAGTCCCAACTGTTTCCCGTGATATATATTAATTTCACCGATTAATTTAATGCATGAGCTTTTTGCTTATTACTAACATTTCTCATTTCCTTGCGGCATATGATTTTTTTTTTTTTTTTTGATATCTTTGGATCGACAAAACTCGATCCATAGCCAACCCCTACTACGCGGGATAACACGACTTAGTGGAGTCGAACTTCGGTGGGAATGCGGAGTCAAATGAACTTAACCACACTAAAGGCACATCCCCCGGCATATGATTATCAAATGTTTATAAACATGCTTGCGACACATTAGCATACCTACAATAATCAATTAGAATGCAACTGTCTACCACCCCACACACTTCTTATTTATTCTCTAGAATCCAAAAAAAAAAAATTATATGTTTATTTCTTGCCTCTAATAAATAAACTTAATGTAGATTAATACTAAAAAAAAAATCTTTAGATGAAACAAGTAGTCTTGAAATTTGATACAAATCTAATAGCAAATTACTATAAGGTAGAATTTGGTTCAAGGAAGCGATTCCGAGTTGTGGCTGACGTTGCTAAGGCGGCTCCCAACTATAGACAGATTGATTCGGTGAGGAATGTCAATTCCTCCCATCTGTGTGCTTTGTTCTCCAGGCAGCGACATATATGCCCACCTCTTTTTCGAATGCGAGTTTCCCTTCGATGTGTGTCTCGCCTTTGGAACAATGGTCAATATTGATCCTCCCATCTCACCCTCCGAGGTCTCTCACAGTCCACAACTCCTCTAGCCATGGACGCTATAATCTTGAAACTGCTCTTCCAAGTGATAGTTTATGCGATTTGGTAGGAACGGAATTCTTGAATTGTTACCACAACATCTCTGCCTCTGGCCGTGATAAAAGCATCGGTGGAATGCATTATGCGAAATCACCTCATCAGCTCCTTCTTCACTCAATGTCTCTTCTTGGATCTCATTTGGTAAGTCCACTATGAAACATTGTCTATCTTGCTTGGGTTCCACTTCCATTTCTTTTGGGTAACATTAGTATAATTCTTATGGGTAAAATGTTTGCAGACCCACCAAATTTTCAATGTGCCTAATAAGAAGTAAGAACCCTACATATCTTAATTGATCTCCCACTATTCATCTACTTTCTCTCTAATGAAAACACACAAAATTTACAAACACAATTGTAGATAAAGAATAAAAATTTAATTAGCAAAAGAAATAAAAACCTAAACATTGGATGTAGAAGGCTGAACAACCTTGTTTTGTCTCCCTGCAAGCCAAAGCATGGTCCTCCTAGCAAAAGATGGCGTTTTCGTCTCCAAAGACTCCGAATTTTCGCTCTTTTGACTCTCTTCATTGATCTCGCGAGATATCCGATGGTTTGGAAATCGGAGTGAGGAGGAAGACACCGAAGAACAATCCTGATCTCTAGCACTAGAACCCTTTTGCTTCTCCTTTTTACCCCTTAGCCAAGTTTTCGACAAAGAAAAGCTCTCTCTTTCCACAACACTCTTCTCGATTCCCTTAACTGTTGGATCCAAACCGCATTCGGACACAACGGCCCTGTTGCCTGGTAGTTTCTTGGTCGAAATGTGAACCTTAAGTGTAGCTTCTTGGTCCATAATATACTCATATGATCCCATTGACAAACACCTCCTTCCATCTACATTAATGCTATTACCACTTATGCTATTTTTGTTGTCGTTGTCACTTCCTTCATTGACATGATCTATGTTCCTAAATTTCCCTAACTTAACTTCTAAAGGAAAAACCTTTCCATCTAAACCATCCAATTCACCATCCGGGTCACATGATTTACGACCCGACCTAATCCGGGTCGACTCAAAATCATTGTTCCCATCATCAATACACAGTTGGGAATTAGACTCAAGAACAGGAACCATATCTCTCGAGCTTTGTTCACTCTCAAGAACAAGTAGATACGAGGAGCTTAGATTGTGGTGAGACGAGAAACCAGAGAGGAGGTTAGATCTACACAAGGGACAAGTAGAGTGAGAGAGAAGCCACGTATCGATACACTCAACGTGAAAGGCATGGCTGCATTTAGGCAAGAGTCTAAGTTTGTCCTCTGTTTCGAACTCACAGAGACAAACAGGACAATCAAAAGGAGAGATTTTGAGACCAATGATAGATTTGTAATGAAATACAGGTAACGTGTCGATTAAGGATTGGTCGACGCCAGAATCATGGAGGTTAAAGAGTTGTTGAAGCTGGCCTTGAAGAGCTGTAACATTGTCGAAGTAATCTTCTCTGTTTTGTGTTGATGGTGTGAGGAGGAATTTGACAAGGATATGGAGAAGACCAGAGATGAAGAAGATGATCGAGAGGATTATGATTATTAGAAGAATATTTGGTGTGATTTTGTTGTTTAAATCGAAGCTTGTGTTTGATTTGAGAGGTATCAATGGTGGTGGTGGTGGTGAAGAAGAGATCAAATTCTTGTTCATGTTTTTTGAGAAAAAAAAAATCAAGATTATAAATGCATGCTCTGTTTTCTGAGAGTTTTGGTTTATCTTGAAATTGAAAGAAGAGAAATAAAGATTTGAGATTAAAGTTTTTTGAAATTTAAGAGACCAGAGTGATGATTAAGAGAATTACAGGTTGGACCATTGATGGTGACAGATGAGCAAATTTATTTCAGTTTTTCTTTCACCAAAGAGGATAGTCTTTGGAATGATTTTTTAAAATTCTGAAATTAATGGGATTTGGATCTTTGTATTTAATTACCTAAAAATGAGAAGTCAACGAAACATTTATTTAAATAAAAAAGAACGGATACAATCACTTTCTTTCATGAATAATAATATCTTATGATTTTGTAACCAAACCATGGCCTCCCATGTTAAAGCCAACCGGACAAACGATATAATTGTACAATCCATTTTAAAATCTGACAATTTAACTTGTAATATATAACATTCCGAGTTTGAATTCAAAATATCATTAAGATTGCAAACCACTAGACTAAACATGTTATTTTACTAAATATTTTTAACATAACAATAAACAAACTAGTGTTGTTGCCATGAGTGATGAATTTGTTTGGGGCATGAATTATTTTCTCTTGAATGGGTTGTTGTTTTTGCTAGAGTTGGTGTCCAAATCATTATGAGCCAAGAAGCTTTTGAGGCATCTTCGACTTTTGGATTTGTTTGGGAGGGGATAGTTAAAACTAGGGTCACACCATTCTTCGTTGTTGGAATGCGCGCTATGTATAGGGTAAACGAGATCGACTATGGATTATTGATATCATTTTTCGCACGTTGTATTGCCTTGTCAATACTCATCGTGAAGTTGACAGTGTTGACATTTCGTCGTTCTATGCATTTTGGTTTGAGATGTTCATGCAAGCTCAATAAACGATCAAAACATTTACTGATTTTACATGATGCTCAAATTCAAACATAAACCACACGACTACAGAAAGTTAAGGATTTGGACGACATAATGAATGATAGTTATGAGTTAGTCTTTTTAGGAAAATCTGCGATCCGGTCTAACGGGGTTTGGATTCTCTTATTAATCCGGTGAGTCCGTGGCTATGGCTTAAAAAAAAGAAACTTTGGCCTACGGCCTTAAAAAAAAAAGAATAGCAAAATGTAGTAAATTTGTTTAAGCTTAACCAGACTTGCATAAATGTTAACGAAACTTTCTAAAATTATTTAATAATGGAATTAAAAAATTATTGAACTAATATACACAGCCGCTTCTTTCACTTTAACTAAATCACTTTTTAGATTTGAAGTGAAATTAGTTGAATTGTAGTTTTGTAAACAAAAAGGTATACTATGCTTTGTTTCTTTGTTGATGAATGTATTGCTTTTGTGTATACTAGAGAGAACTCACGCGATGCGTGGGATACTGATTAAAAATATAATTTCAAAATAAATAATACAATAATAAGTTTTGATGTCCTTCCAAATAATTATACATGAATTTGTTTAACACTTTAGTTATTCCTTTTGTTATCAGTTTAAGAATTTTGTTATAAAGAAAGGTAAAGTACGTACGTATAGAGTGGCTAAAAATAGAAAGTATTGGCATATATATTATGAAATTTATTTTGAATGTAAAAATTAGTATGTAATACACATTTTTTGAAGGAAAAAGGTCAACAAAGAATAAAAAGTAGACGTTTTTTTGGAAAAGAAAAAAAACCCACTTTCCAACGAAAAATTCACTGATCAAAATCTCAAATATTAGATTTTATCTTTCAACTCTATCATCATCTTCTCCTTCTTCTTTTTTATAACAAAAGTGTAGATAAGGGTTTAACCATTAATTCTAATTTAAAAATGAGCTCGTCATGAAGTTTTTAACTTTTTTTTCACGACATGTGGTCCTTTTTCTTTGTCTTTAAATGCTCAAAAAAAATCCTATATTTTTTCATTGTTTTTTTTTTCATCATCCAAATTATAAGAAAAATTAAAATAGTTTAGAAATAGATAAGATGCTATATTATTTATTTTATATTATAAGACCTTATTTTTATATTTTAGTATTGAAAATGCACTTTTTGGTGTGCCATTTTTAAAAAATGTCCCTTCTTTTGTGTATTTTCAAAAATACGTCTCATTAAACCTGAAAAGGTTTATGAGGCAATTCTGTATGGTAAGTATTACTCAAGCCTCGATCTAAGTATTTGTATGCTTTTATAATGTTACATACGTACTTAGGTAAATCTTAGATTTTTAAGGAAATTTTAAAAAGATTTTACGTAGGTTGTATTTTTGAAAAAATGTATTGGAAAAAAGCATTTCTAACAATCCTTCAATTTACAATGTCATTTTAATAATTTTATTACATTTTGCTTTTCGAATAGTATTAATTTATGTAATGATTTATAGTTAAAATAAATATGAAATAATATTTTAAAATAAACTATTATAAGATAATTTGTTGTTAATTGTTTAATATCAATTTGTGGGAAATAAGGTAAAATGTAGAAAAAGAAAACAATAAAAGAATACTTGATTTAGTGTAATATGCGTTATAGAACATTGATGAATTTTGAGAATGAATTTTAAGAGTAAAATCTTTTTAAGAAAATAGAATAGGAAATAGAAATGGGAAATGATCTTATAAAAGTGTATACGTACATCTTTCATTGTTCCGTTTCAATTTGAATCTATATATACATTTTCGAAGTACACATATAAAATAAATCTTTGAGTTGGCACTTATTTACAAGAGAATGTCATTGTTATAAATGTTTATCTATTAATTAATACTAAAAATTATTTTTGAAACAATTTTTTAGAAATTGTGGCTTCTAAATATGATAACAAATTGATTTTGTTTCTAAATTTGATTAATTGCTAATTTCCTTAAACCTCTCTACCTAATTTAAACATTAATATATGATTATTCTTACACTTTTATATGATCATATATTTAATTTATTTTGAATTTATGTAAAATACATATAATTAATAAAATAATATATTTTTCTGCATATAATATGATTTAAAATTTTAAAAACGGACATATATTATTCAATTGATGAAGAAAAAATATATATACAATGTCCCACATTGCTTAAAATTTTGGGCAATGGTTCAGAGTCATACTATAAAAGGACCAAAATGATTCTGAATACAAATGAGAAGGAAGCTTGATTTATCTGGCGCCCAAAATTAAAATTGTTATCTGGTTTACTCCGGTTCCTTATTTTATTGAAACTTTTCAAAAGTTTCAAAATATTATAAATGTTTAATTTTTATTAAAAATTAAATATTATAGTCATTTAAACGTTTGTAAAATTAAACTTTATAAAAAAATTAAATATTTATATAACTAAAACTTTTATGAAGTTTTAAATATGAATATTTGAACTTTATAAGAATTTATAAGAAACTTTTAAAAAAGTTTAGAGTATTTATAATATTTAAGTTCTATAAAAAGAACAACACACTAAGTGTCTCGATTTTATGAAATTGATTAAATAAGAGATTTGTAACATGAAAACGCAATGTGAAGAAGAAACGTAACTTAAAGAAATATAATGCTACGGTTTTCATTTATTAGATAGAGTAACGTAAGGGAAAAATGGATACTTAACTATAATGTCTAGAAAGATATGCTTAGAGAAGAGAAGAAACGAATGTTCAGTTGTTTTTTTGAAATTTATTTTGAGTAAATTTGGATAAATGCCCTATTTTTGACCTTTTTTTTGAAAAATATACTATTTTTTTCTTTACTATATTTTACTATTAATTAAAAAGGAATTTATACGTAAAACAGAAAATCTATTAATTTAGTTTTGAAATTAATATTTGAAATAACTAACAATTTTAATAATTTTTATCTTAAATATTTCTTTTAAACAATCTAAAATAATTGTGAATTCACCTATCAAGTGAATCATGTTTCTTCATTTGATTTAAATTTAATAGGTCATCATTACTTTGTAAAATCTCTTGACTAAAATTACTTTTGATTGGATTTCTATTAGTTTTTGGTACTCCATCTCTAATCGATAACACATGTAAATAAAACAAAGAATATTATGTTATAGAGTTATAAGCCATACGTTGATTTAATCAATGATACATGTATATTACATCATTATACCAATGTTAAGTCGTAATCTACGTTAACCTTGAAATTGGAGAAGACTTTGGAGTTGAAAATTTTGATTATTACGTTGAGATTTTTTTTGTTTATACAATATTAAGGGATAGACTTTTTAATATTTTTAGATATTATCTTATTAAATTTAATATATAAAATAAATAAACTATCTTTATCTCAAAAAATAATTATAAGGATAACTAATATTATTTTGAATTTTTCTCTCAATTTTCGAATTTAGTTATAATTTTACTAAAAATACAGCTTTCAATTTAAATATAGACGAAATTATCATTTTATATATAAAAATTTCTAATTTTCATTAGAAATAGAAAAAGGGTATTTTTCAAACGAAAACTAAAAAATATGATAGTTTTCAAAATCACCCTTTTATTTTCTAAATATAATTACAAATTAATCATCACTAATTACCATTAATTGGAGAGGGACACATGTCAGATGCATAGGATGACAAATGGCATGATAATAGAGTTTTTTCAAAAAAAACTTGTCATATTATATAAGATATTATATAAGATATAAGATACTTAGACCAAAGAAACACTTAATATGAATGGTTTATTAGTATACAGTTATTTAAATGAAGTAAAATGTTTTTAATGTGATTGTTGTAATTAAGAGATTGAGCAATTTGGCTTGAAAATTTTATTAATAATTTTATATGAAAGAAGAAGAAAATTATGCTTATGTTTTGAGTTTATGTTAATTATTTATTTAAGATCATGATTTTTCTTTTTTTGACATCGGAATCATGATTTTTAATTTTTTGATTATATAAATTAATTTATTTTTTTAATCTCCGCCTCCAGCCTTCGTACTACTAGGAACGGCTTTGCGGTGAGATGGGATCTCTGATTAGATGGCTCATGTCGTTGACTGTCACACTAACCTTGGTTGATGATCACATGTTTTTTTAGTGTAGACACACCTATATTTGACGTCTTTTGGTATCTTATTAAGGGTTGACATTTTAGTATGTGTTTTTAGTGCGAGCAAAATAGTCAGTTTTCAAATTAAATGTACGAGATAAAAAAAAATGAGACACTAGAAAAGGTAACACATAACTATTGTTATTTAAAAGAAGAAATAACTGTATTTCATTTCATAATTTTAGGCAGTAAACAAACATCCTATATATGTCGAGAAAGGAGAAACACGACAAAGAGGGAAACATGAAGGCGACATGGAAGAAGGTTCTATGGATTTCTCTGTTTTATGTTTTAACTCGAGGCAAATATGGTCTCGTGCATTTACAATTTCTTATATGCTTAGTAGAACAATGTAGCTAAAAGGCTAAAAGATAAACCTTTTCCATTTAGTCTTCTTGTTATCATTTTTTGGTTTATGATTTTGTGTTTTAATTTCCTATGGTACATAAACAATTATATATAATTGAAAAACCAGGATATGTTGTTAGGTCAACTTACATAGCCTTTTGAAAGGCTCACGAATTGAAGAACAATTATTAGAAAATAGTTATTTGAAAAGTGAAATAGATTTTAGGAGATGGTAAGGTGAGAAAGCCCCCTCACTCTTAAAACTACAAAAAAAAAAGCCCGCTCAGTTTTGAGTTTTTTGACATACATATTTTCAAATTTCAACCTATAAATTTCACATAAAATTTTTATCTGGTCATATGGTTTAAACTTTTGGTTCAGCTATTCATAAGTTATAAGATTAATTATATATATCATAAACATTTAATATATTCTTTATGTTTTAAAATTATAAACAAATATTATAATGATATAGATAAATATATGTATTGGCTTTCTATATATTTTGGGGCAATGTTAGAGGACTTACCTAAACACCTATACTACAGTCAAACTTGCAAATAAAGGGATTGTTTATATAAGTCTAGTTTAGATCGTACCGATCCGGTTTGGTTTGGTTCGGTAAACGTTCGAGTTGTTTGGTTCAAAAGAAAGAAAACCGATAAGCTTACTTTCGTTGGATTTGGGCCGGTTCGATTGTAGACAAAACTGATTTGAGTTCCTCAATTCATTTTGGTTTGGTTTGATTGAACTACGGATATTGTTAATGTCGGACGCATCAAAGTTATTGCAACACTACAAAAAAATGTCACATCTATTTAATTATGTGTAGTCAAACAAGAGTTATTGAAATACAGCTATCTTCAATTCATGAAATAAGTTTAATTAAGATTCATTATATGAAACTCCGTTAAATAATTTAAAAGAGGGTTTGATATATTGAAAATCGTTATAAAAAAAAACATAATGGTTGGAAATTTTTTTTGTTAAATTTATAGGTTTCTAATATTAAATTTAAACCCTACAAACGAGAT